TCTGGGTTTCCCCATCTCTGTGACTCCCATGTCTGCCCGGCCCCAGCGTTCATGTTCCGCCTGGATGCGTCCACATCCCACCAGAACCTGCGGGTGGATGATCTCTCCGTGGAGTGGGACGCTATGGGCGGGAAGGTGCAGGATATCAAGGCTCGTGAGAAAGATGGCAAGGGGCGGACCGCGTCTCCTGTCAACTCCCCAGCCAGGTAGCCTGCCCCCTCCCCTCCCTAAGTCTCTGGTGGAAGAGATCAAGCTGGACATGGACACAGAGCCCAGTGTGGTCAGAGCTGGGGTGGAGGGGGGACCTGGGGCTGGGGGAACCTAGAGAGGGAATGAGGGGAGAGGAGGTTTTGAGTGGGGTTTTGATGGTTGAATAGGAGTTTCCCAGATGACATGTTCTGGCATGAACATGAGGCACTCAGTATATAGAAAGAGCTAAATACTGCCGGAAATGGACCCAACACCCATAGTGGCTGGGGTGGACTAGGGAAGCCTTACCCTGGGAGATGAGTGTTGAACTGGGCCTGCTTACTCCCTGCCCTCCACAGAGGTACTCCATCTCCCAAGAGGATGCCCTCAGGTCGTGGGGGACGGGACCGCTTCACCGCCGAATCCTACACAGTGCTGGGTAAGGAGCGGGAGAAGAAAGGGGATAGGGGAGTTTGAGACAGGGGCCTAATGGTAGATTGAGGGAGAACCTTTGCCTTTGGCTGTGGAAACAGGTGGCCATCAGCAAAGTTGCTCCCGGAATAACATGTTCCGGCACTGCCAAATGGAAATATTTGGGGATGAGGGATTGCTGGGGAGAGCCGGAATTTATGGAGTGAAGGAAAGAGACTCTGGACCAGACAGTGCCTCGGCAGGAGCTTGAGGGCAATTTTCTGGAGCCTATGGAGTATCTGGGACTTGGGGAGTAGCTGGGATTTGGGGAGTAGCTGGGACTTGGGGAGTAGCTGGAAAGAATGGTTGCCTATGGGGGAGCTGAAGCCAGGCGGGAGTTTTGGAGGATTGTCTGAGTTTTATGTGGAGGAGCCAGAGAGAGTTGTCTAAGGAGAAGTTGATAGCAGCACAGGAATGATCACATCCTATGAAGAAGAAGCTGAAGTTAGTGGAGGAACTGGAGTTTAGGGAAATTGCTACTGTTCAGAATAGAGCTGGAGAAAGAGGCTAAGGTATGAGGAAGTCATTGTGGTCAGAGCACCCAGGGAGAAGGAAGTCAGGGAGTAGCTGGGGTCCTGAGGGAAAGCTATGGTTCTCTCAGGATCTAGATGATCTTGGGAGCACCTGGGATCGGTGAGCGTTTGCTTTAGGGAGGAAGCAGAAGATATAAGGAGTTGTCTTTGGAGTTGCAGAAATTAGCGGGAGAGAGACAGTTCATCCTTGCAAAAGGGCCTAGATAATGTGTGGTTTGGGGAGTGGCTGAGATCAGGGAGGAGCAGACCTGGAGAAGACATGTACGTGGGGGTTCATCTTGTATCTGGAAAGGAGCTGAGATATGATGCAGAGATCAGCTGTGATCTGGGAGGGGAAGAGTGTGAGGAGAAGCTGAAGCTCATGGAATAGCTGCATTGGGAGAAGGAGTAGCTGAGAAGGCAAGATCTCGGCTCTAGAGAGAACCTGGACTGTGTGCAGAGCTGAAGCCAAGGGGTATCCAAATCCAGAGGGTTCCCGGAGAGTGTGACGGAGGCTTGAGGAACACCTGAGTTCCAGGGCGCACTGAGGCCTGGAGAGTGTCTGGCTTGGGGAATGCCTTGGGGGAACATCTGCCTTCTGTGTGGAGTTGAGGTCTGGATAGAATCTGGATTCAGAGAACAAGAGGAGAGAGTCTTGAGTCCTGGGAGTATCTGGACTTGAGTCCAGGAGCCAGAGGGAGCTTCTAGACTCTGCCAGCGCCGGGAACTAGGGGATTCTGCACTCCAGGAGGACTTGGGGCCTGCAGGAACATGAGGAGTTTTCCAAGAGCAAGGGTTTGAGGAGGATCTAGTTTCTGGGAAGAACCGAGAGGTATTTGGACATGGGGAGGAAATGAAGGAAGTTTGTATGGCCTGGAAGAGTCTGGGAGGAGCAGCTTGGGCTTGTAGAGAATCTGAAAGGAGTAACTGAGGCTTGGGAGTTTCTGGGCTTACTAAATCTCTAGAGGACGTTGATAAAGCCTAGGGAATACCTGGAGCCCAAGGAGTATCTGGGGGAATACCTGGGACTCAGGGAGTATCTGGAGGGAACAGCTGGAGCCTGAGGAGCATCTGGAGGGAACAGCTGCAGCCTGAGGAGCATCTGGAGGGAACAGCTGCAGCCTGAGGAGCATCTGGAGGGGAATAGCTGGGACCTTGAAGAGTATCTGGGGGGAAATAGCTGGGACCGAGGAGTATCTGTGAGGAATAGCTGGAGCCTCAAGAGTATCTGGGGGAACATCTGGGTCCTCAAGGAGCATGTAGAGGGAATAGCTGGGATGCCAAGGAATATCTGAGAGAAATAGCTGGGGTCAGAGGAGTATTTGGGGGGAATAGCTGAGACCTCCAGGGATATCTGGGGGGAATAGCTGGGTCCTTAAGGAGTATCGGGGGAATAGCTGGGTCCCCAAGGAGTATCTGGAGGGAATAGCTGGGTCCTCAAGGAGTATCGGGGGAATAGCTGGGTCCTCAAGGAGTATCGGGGGAATAGCTGGGTCCTCAAGGAGTATCTTGGGGGAATAGCTGGGTCCCCAAGGAGAATCTGGTGGGAGGATAGCTGGGATCCCAAGACTCCTTGGGAGTAGCTGGGTCCCCAAGGAGTATCTGGGAGGAATAGCTGGAGCCCAAGGAGTATCTGGAGGGAACAGCTGGAACCTGAGGAGTATCTAGAGGTATAGCTGGGCTTGAGTATTAGGGGAATAGCTGGGACTCTCAGGGATGTCTGGGAATAATAGCTGGGATCCCAAAGAGTATCTGGGGGGAATAACGGGCCTGAGGGTATCAGGAGGGAGTAGTAGGGACAGTGGGGTGTCTGGAGGGAATAGCTGGGTCCCCAAGGAGTCTCTGGGGGGATAGTTGGGTCCCCAAGGAGTATATGGGGGGATAGCTGGGTCCCCAAGGAGTATATGGGGGGGATAGCTGGGTCCCCAAGGAGTATCTGGGGGGATAGCTGGGTCCCCAAGGACTCTCTGGGGGGATAGCTGGGTCCCCAAGGAGTCTCTGGGAGGATAGCTGGGTCCCCAAGGAGTCTCGGGGGGGGGTTAGCTGGGTCCCCAAGGAGTATATGGGGGGGATAGCTAGGTCCCCAAGGAGTCTTGGGGGTGGGATAGCTGGGTCCCCAAGGAGTCTCTGGGGGGGATAGCTGGAGTCCAAGGAGTATCTGGAGGGAATAGCTGGGACTCTCAGGGATTATCTGGGGGGAAATAGCTGCGATCCCAAGGAGTGTCTGGGGGTAACAGCTGGAGCCCAGGGAGTGTCTGGGGGTAACAGCTGAGGCCAGGGAGTGTCTGGGGGTAACAGCTGGAGCCAGGGAGTGTCTGGGGGTAACAGCTGGGGCCAGGGAGTGTGTGGGGGTAACAGCTGGAGCCAGGGAGTGTCTGGGGGTAACAGCTGAGGCCAGGGAGTGTCTGGGGGTAACAGCTGGGGCCAGGGAGTGTCTGGGGGTAACAGCTGGGGCCAGGGAGTGTCTGGGGGTAACAGCTGGGGCCAGGGAGTGTCTGGGGGTAACAGCTGGGGCCAGGGAGTGTCTGGGGGTAACAGCTGAGAACTTCATGAGTGTCTGGGGGTAACAGCTGAGAACTTCATGAGTATCTGCAGGGAACAGCCAGGGCTTGAGGGGTACCTGGGGGTACAGCTAGCAACCTGAGGAGTATCTGGAGGGAGCAGCTGTGGTGTGGGGAGCGCCTGTGGGGCTAGCCCTTTGTGGAATGGTATCTGTGGCTGAGTTCTACCCTGTCCCCGCCCCTGCCCTGCACCCCAGGGGACACGCTGATCGACGGTGGGGAGCATTACTGGGAGGTACGCTATGAGCCCGACAGCAAAGCATTTGGCGTGGGCGTGGCCTACCGCAGCCTGGGCCGCTTCGAGCAGCTGGGCAAGACGGCTGCCTCCTGGTGCCTGCACGTGAACAACTGGCTGCAGGTCAGCTTCACGGCCAAGCACGCCAACAAGGTCAAGGTGCTGGACGCCCCTGTGCCCGACTGCCTGGGTGTGCACTGTGACTTCCACCAAGGTGACCCCAAGCCCCAGCTGCCATCTCTGGCTGCCCCTGCCTGAGTCCCCGCCCTCTGTCCCATCCCACTTCTGACTGGCCCTACTGTCCCTCTGCCTCCCCCAGGCCTCCTGTCCTTCTACAACGCCCGCACCAAGCAAGTGCTTCACACCTTCAAGGCCAAGTTCACACAGCCGCTTCTGCCTGCTTTCACGGTGAGCTGCCCTCCGCAGTCCAGGGGTAGGAGAGGGTGGTGCTGGGTGTGCCGGGGTTCGAAGCTGAGCCCCTCCCGCCTCCCCCGCTGTCCCTCAGGTATGGTGTGGCAGCTTCCATGTGACGACAGGCCTGCAGGTCCCCAGCTCCGTGCGCTGCCTGCAAAAGCGAGGCAGTGCTACGAGCAGCTCCAACACCAGCCTCACCTAGGCCCCCAGGCACTCACCCAGCCGCGGTGGTTTTTGGGGGCCCACTGCCGGGCCCCGGCTGCTGGAGCCAGGCCCCCTCCTCTGTCACTTGCTGCTTGGAGCCTTAACTCCTGATGGGGGGGGTCACAAAGAGGGAGTGGGCACCCTGGTGGGCCCTCCTCCCCTCCTCCCCTCTTAATAAAGGTCAAACACTGGCCAGGCCAGGCCGCGGTGCTGGTTCTTTGGGCCGGGGTGGTCCTCTCTGGTGTGTGGCACTGGGACCTCAACCTTCCCAGCTGTAAAATGGGCTTTTCTCCCAGGCTACGGTGGTAGGTTTCACTGCACTAAGGATCATTGGGAGTGAATGGGGCCATCCGTAGGCAGACATCTGACGGACCCCTCATCCCCTACTCCCCCAAGCCAAGCCAGACACATGGGTCCTGGGGTCAGAGGTTTAATCCTGGGAGAAAGACTCTGGTCACTGAGCTGTGCCCCGGGACTGGCCCACTGGTCCCCGGCATGTCCGAATCAGTGCTCCAGCGCGCGCCGCTTCTCCAGCTTCTTTTGTAGCTCTGCGGTCACGTCCGCCAGCCCTGGGGGTTTAGGAGTAGGGGCTGCAGCTGGCTTAGGAATCCCCAGTCCGTGCCCTGCCCCCCGACAGCCCCCAGGACCAGCTACGGATTTGCAGGGCAACATGACAGTGTGCTCAAAAGCATTAGGAATTTCAAGACAGAGACAGTGAAGCCTTAAAAGGCAGGGTGTTTTGGAGTGTGGGGCCCTGTGTGACTACATGGGTCACGCGCCTGGGAAGCCTGCCCCGCACTGACCCTGCAGACCCCTTACCCGGTGTGGGGAAGAGAGGCTGGGCTGAGCTGGCTGGCAGCTTCCTGGGCAAGCCACCATTAACGACTTTGGGCTCTGGAAGAGAAGACAGATGAGGCCAGGTGTGGTGGCTCACGCCTGTAATACCAGCACTTTGGGAGGCTGAGGTGGGTGGATCACTTGAGGTCAGGAGTTTGAGACCAGTCTGGGCAACATGGTGAAACCCCTTCTCTACTAAAAATAGAAAAATTAGATGGGCGTGATGGCAGGTGCCTGTAATCCCAGCTTCTCAGGAGGCTGAGGCAGGAGAATCCCTTAAACTTGGGAGGCAGAGGTTGCAGTGACCCGAGATCACGCCACTATACTCCAGCCTGGGTGACAGAGTGAGACTCCATCTCAAAACAAAAACAATGGCTGGGCACAGTGGCTTACGCCTGTAATCCCAGCACTTTGGGAGGCGGAGGCGGGTGGATCACGAGGTCAAGAGATCGAGACCATCCTGGTCAACATGGTGAAACCGCATCTCTACTAAAAATACAATTATTAGCTGGGCATGGTGGCGTGCGCCTGTAGTCCCAGCTACTCGGGAGGCTGAGGCAGGAGAATTGCCTGAACCCAGGAGGCGGAGGTTGCAGTGAGCCGAGATCGCGCCATTGCACTCCAGCCTGGGTAACAAGAGCGAAACTCTGTCTCAAAAAAATAAAATAAAATAAAAAATAATAATAATTAAAAAAAAGACAAGGGCTGAGGCTGGCCGGCCATCTGGTGAGGGAGGGATTGGAGGGGACCCTACCTGGCTTGGGTCCGGTGGGCGGCTTTGGAGGCTTTGCAGGAGCCTTTGGCAACTTCTTCGGCTTCAGGATGACCGGCCGACTGGAGGAAGCCACTGTGTGAACAAAGTGTCACATCAGCTGTTAACCTGTTCCTGCAACCCCCCCCCCACCCAGCTCTCAGCAGCTCTGCTCCCCACCCACCGTCTTGGTTCTCGTAGTCAACAGCTGGGGCATCCCCAATGGGGGTCACGTAGTTCTCTTCCTGGTCTGGTAGTGGGGGCAGTGGGGGTAATGGGGGCAGCTTGTCCTGGCTGGACACAGGCACAGACGCAGGAGGTGGTGGCTTGGGGCCACTTGTGCGGGGTATAGGACCTGATGGGGAAAGTTAGTTAGCTGTCAAGACACGTCATACAGGGACATGGCGGGGGGGGTGTGGTCTGTGTGCATGACTGGAGACGGGCATGTGTCCCTATGCGTGGTGGCTGACACCTGTAATCTCAGCATTTTGGAGGGCTGGGGTGGATGGATCACCTGAGGTCAGGGGTTGAAGACCAGCCTGGCCAATACGGTAAAACTCCATCTCTACTAAACATATAAAAATTAGCCTGGCATGGTGGTGGGTGCCTGTAATCCCAGCTACTAAGGGGGCTGAGGCAGGAGAATCGCTTGAACCTGGGAGGCAGGGGTTGCAGTGAACCGAGATTGGGCCTCTGCACTGCAGCCTGAGTGACAGAGTGAGACTATGTCTCAAAAAAAAAAAAAAATCTGGGCCAGGTGCGGTGGCTCATGCCTGTAATCCTAGTATTTTCAGAGACTCAGGCAGGTAGATCACAAGGTCAGGAGTTCGAGACCAGCCTGACCAACATGGTAAAACCCCATCTCTACTAAAAATACAGAAAATTAGCTAGGCGTGTAGCACGGGCCTGTAATCTCAGCTATTCAGAAGGCTGAGGCAGGAGAATGTCCTGCATCTGGGAAGCGGAGGTTGCGGTGAGTCAAGATAGTGCCATTGCACTCCAGCCTGGGCAACAGAGTGAGACTGTCTCGAAAAAAAATATGTTTCCATGTTGCATACAGATATACACTGACTTTATCTGCACACGTCAAATCGAAGTGCAGGGTTTGTGCACACGCCTGCGTGTGTATACTTGCGTGACTGCACGCCTATCAAGGTATCTGCTTCAGTGCTTATCTAGATGAGTGTGTTATGCCCATGTGTCTATACGTGTCTGATTTTGTGCTTGTGCATGGAAGTGTCTGCATTTATGTGCACACACGATTGTAGCGTGAGACAGGTGTGTCTGTGCTACGTAGTGTGTGTATATGACTGGAATTGGGGTACACGTGTATTTACCCATGTGTGGATCTATCATGCCTGCCACAAGTGTGTGCCAGCTTCTGGCTAGGCAGGTGGCCACCGTTCATGGATCATGCATGTGTGTGTGGATATGGCACTTGGGGGTCCCTGTACACGCCCAGTGCAGGGAAGACCAGACCACCCATCCTACATTCCTTTCTAGTGTGTTCTCTGCCTCCTCCTCCGACTCCATAAACAGGACCCATTTCCACCTATTTACCAACACCCATCCGGATTCCCGGTCTCTAGGGGGCTACTGTTTGTCCGGGTGCACCCCCCTGTCCCTTCAATCCCCATTTCTACCTAAGAAGATCTTTTGGGACCGTCTGCAAAGACTTCCGCTAGGAAGCTTTCCCTTCTGTGCTCCCATCTTCTCCCAACTCTAGGTGCCTCTCTCCAACCCAGGTTTTACCTCCACCCCAAATTCGACCCTACAGGATGAGAGTGTCTGCGTCGAGCTCGTTCCACCACCCTACCCCACAAGCTGGGACCCTCCCCACCCCGCCCCCACACCCCGAAGGCAGGATCTGAGTCATTTCTGTCCCTGCAATTTTGTGAGCAACATCAGATACAAGCAACGCAGCCACCAAACTGAGGGGGTGTGGCTGGATGTGGGGTCCTCGATCCCTCCCACCTCGGCCCGCAGGGAGGGGACGTCACCTGGGCCCGGGGCGGAGGGCGCCACCCACACACTCTCGCCATTCTCCTTATCGGCTTCCACGTAGCCTGGAACAGAGAGGGCGGCCTGGAGGAAGCGGGGCGGCCAGGGCGGCCCCGTCGGTCCGGGCGGGGGCGGGAGAGGTGAGGCCTGGGCCCCCGAACTCCCCGAAGCCGCACCCACCTAGCACCTTCTCGTAGTCCTCGTCAAACAAGAAGGGCACCAGCGTCTTTTTGGTGTGCGACACGAAATAGTTGACCACGGCGTCCAGGGAAGTACAAGAGAACTGGGGGCGAACGGGACAGCGGTCAGGCTGCTGGGGAAGGGGCGCAGACCCCACAAAAGCACTCCTGGGGACTCCGGCCCAACGGCTCACCGGCTCTTCCACGTCGATCACGTACTTGGTTCCCTCCCGCTTCACCTTATAATGCCGGACCACGTGAGTCCTGCACGAGCAGAGAGTGAGTGAGGGGCTCAGCCCAGGCTCCCATATCGCTCCCTATCCCCGGGAAGGCCTGCCCCGACCCCAGGCTCCGCCCCGACCCCAGGCTCCGCCCCGACCCCAGGCTCCTCCCCCAATAGAAATGGGTCGACTGGCTCCACCCCCAGAGAAGGCCCCGCCCCTGACTGGCTCCACCCCATCAAGGACCTAAGCCCTTCTATCCTCCCCGAGTATTGACTGCCCGTTCCCAGCTCTGCTCCCACAGAAGACCCCACCCCTGGTCTTGGCACTGCCTCCAGGGAGAGACCGGGCCACACTGACACCACTTCAGAAAAGGCACTGCGCCCAGGGAGAACCAGGCCCTAAAGACTCCGCCCCGGGTAAAGCCCCGCCCCCTGCAATGGCTCCATCCCCAGGCCCCGACTCCACTTTATACATTGCCTTGCCTAACCCTGGACTGGGATTGAAAATTTGACTCCGTCCCCAGAGTGGCTCAGCTTCCACAGCCCTACTAAACTTCCAAAGGGTCACGGCCATGACTTTACCCATAGATCCTGACTCTATCCAAAGGGCTCATTCCCACGCCTGGATCTGACTTCGTCCCCTCCAGAGGCCCAAACCCGGCCCCTGCGTACCTTACGTTCTGGAGGAGCCGACCCTAACCCAGGGATCTGAGTCTACCTACAGGTTGTCCCAGCTCCTAACCCTCCTAACCTGGCTGCTCCTGCAGAGGGGTCTGCAGCCCTGCCTGGGCTCTCCCTTCGCCCCCAGGCATTGACCCCATACCTGGGATAGGGCCAACCTCTGGATCCCACAACCCCGGAGCTCTGATCCCGCCCCCAGCCCGCCCTGTCCAGCTCTGACTCTGCCCCCAGTCTCCCATGCTCAGCTCTGACTCCATCCCCAATCCGCCCAGCTGAGCTCCGACTACGCCCCCAGCCTCCCAGCTCAGCTCTGACTCCGCCCCCAGTCTCCTCCGCTCAGCTGATTCCCTTCCCCAGCCCGCCGCGCACAGCTACACAGCTGACTCCGCCCCCCACCCGCCCAGCTCAGCTGACTCCGCCGCCAGCCTCCCGACTCAGCTCTGACTCCGCCCCCAACCCGCCCAGCTGAACTCTGACTACGCCCCCAGCCTCCCTGCTCAGCTCTGACTTCGCCCCCAGTCTACTCAGCTCAGCTAACTCCGCCCCCAACCCGCCCAGCTCAGCTCTGACTCCGCCCTTAGTCTCCTCCGCTCAGCTGATTCCATCCCCAGCCCGCCCCGCGCGGCTACACAGCTGACTTCGCCCCCCACCCGCCCAGCTCAGCTGACTCCGCCGCCAGCCTTCCCGACACAGCTCTGACTCCGCCCCCAGCCTCCCCCGCTCAGCTCTGACTCCGCCCCCAGTCTCCCTTCTAAGTTCAGGCTCCGCCGCCAGGCCTATCCACTAGTGCGGGTCGAGCTCCGCCCCTGCTTCTGACCACACCCCCGCGCCCAGCCTCCTCCCACCCACGGCTCCCGAGCCGCGCATGCGTACCCATTGTGCATCTGCCGCGTGGTGACCGACACGCCGTCCGCGCTGTCTCCGCTGGGCCGCAGCAGCAGGTTTCCGCACTCGGGGTAGCGCTCTAGGAGCAGTTGTGCCTCCAGCCGGCTCACCTTCAGGAAGCACCTGTGGCGGGCCGCGTCACCCACTCGTGACCCCGGAGACCAGGTCCGCTCTTCCGCACGTAAACCCCGCCTCCTCGGAGACCCAGCCCCATCTCCATCCCCCTCTCCTGGGCCCAGGAGACCCTGCCCTGCGCTCCAGACCCAGTCCGGCCTTTCTGTGTTTTTCTGTTTTGTTTTGTTTCTTTTTTTGAGACAGAGTTTCGCTCCTTTTGCCCAGGCTGGAGTGCAATAGGACGATCTTGACTCACTGCAATCTCCGTCTCCCAGGTTCAACCGATTCTCCTGCCTCAGCCTCCTGAGTAGCTGGGATTACAGGCATGCATCACCACACCCGGCTAATTTTTTTATTTTTAGTTGAGACGGGGTTTCACCATGTTGGTCAGGCTGGTCTCGAACTCTCGACCTCAGGTGATCCGCCCGCCTCGGCCTCCCAAAGTGCTGGAATTACAGGCGTGAGCCACTGGGACTGGCCGGGTTTTTTTTTTTTTTTTTTAAGAGACGGGGGCTCGCTATGTTGCCCCTTTGTTTGCTTTAGAATTGGGACCAAGCAGTCCTCGCTCCTCGACCTCCCAAGGCGCTGAGATGACAGGCGCTAGCCACCGTGGACAGCCAGGCTCCTAATTCTGTCCCGGAAGATACAATCCCAACTGCAAGGCACAGACCCAGGCCAGGGAGACCAAGCCCTACCTTGTAGGCACTTGCAGCCTTCCCTGGAGGCCCTGCCTGCCTCCCTAATCACCAAAAACCGCCCACAACGACGATGCTCCGCCCCCCATCCAGGCCCCGCCTCTGGGGTCCTGGCTACGCAAATAACCCCTCCCCAGAGGCGCAGCCCCACCTTCTAGACACCTAGACTGACCCCCCCCCGCCCATTCTGCCCCCACTCCTCAGGCCTAGCCTCACCTCTGAAGACACATTCAGTCCTCTAGGCCCCTCAGCCCCTCCTGGAGACCCTCCCCCACCTCCCAGCATGGGCCTTACCTTAATGGAGTCATCATGCAAAATCCAAGACCCAGTTCACCGCCCACCGTCAGCCCCACACCCACCTCCAGCCCCATCCTGCAGCCCCTCGGGACGGGCAGGGCACTCACGAGGGTGTCTCCAGTGCACGGCGTGCCTCCTCTTTAGCCAACACTTCAGCCATCATGTATAGGTGTCCAGGAAGCAGGGTCAGGTTGGACGGGACACGGAGCTGAGGGGCAGGCGATCAAGGGACAGTGACTACACCCAGCTGGCCGTGAATGGACGGCTGTGCCCAAGTCACACAGTGACAAACTGAGGACAGAGCTCAGAGCCATAAACTCTGACACCTTCCGAGGCAAAGAGGGCTTCCAGAGGGTGCAGAGGGGTTGCATGAGAGGAGATGCTGGAATCTAGGGTTTCAAACAAAAGTCTCCAGGGGCCAGGCAAGTCTCAAACTCTGGCTGCCAGGGCAAGCCAAGAAACAGGGAAATCAGACGCCTGTAATCGCAGCACTTTTGGAGGCCGAGGTGGATGGATGGCTTGGGTGCAGGAGTTGGGAGACCAGCCTGGGCAACATAGTGAGCCCTGCTCTACAAAAAAAAAATTTTTTTTTAAACAGAGTTTTGCTTTCCTTGCCCAGGCTGGAGTGCAATGGCGCAATCTCGGCTCACTGCAACCTCTGCCTACCAGGTTCAAGTGATTCTCCTTCCTCAGTCTCCAGAGTAGCTGGGATTACAGGCATGTTCCACCACGCCCAACTAATTTTGTATTTTTTTTTTTTCCGTTTTAGAGACGGAGTTTCTCTCTTGTTACCCAGGCTGGAGTGCAATGGCGCGATCTCGGCTCACTGCAGCCTCCGCCTCCTGGGTTCAGGCGATTCTCCTGCCTCAGCTTCCCGAGTAGCTGGGATTATAGGCACGCGCCACCATGCCCAGCTAATTTTTTGTATCTTTAGTAGAGATGGGGTGTCACCATTTTGACCAGGATGGTCTCGATCTCATGACCTCGTGATCCAAAGTGCTGGGATTACAGGCGTGAGCCACTGCACCCAGCCCTTGCTCTACAAAGTTTTAAAAATTAGTCAGATGTGGTGATCTGTGCCTGTAGTCCCATCTACTTGGGAGGCTGAGGCAGGAGGACTGCTTGAGCCTCGTCGTTGGAGGCTGCAGTGAGCTATGATCACACCACTGCACTCCAGCCTGGGCAACAGAGCAAGACCCTGTCTCGAAAAAAGTAAAATAAAATAAGAAATACGACTGGTCGCTGTGGCTCACACCTGTAATCCCAGCAGTTTGGGATCCGAGGCAGGTGGATCACTTGAGGTCAGGAGTTCGAGACCAGTCTGGCCAAAATGGTGAAACTGGGCTTGTTTGGAAAATGAAGGATGGTAAAAAGAAAATGGGAGAGAGGGCGCAGAGAGCCACTACTCTTACCTCCACCACCGTCAAGATGAAGCCCTTCCACATCTCTCGACATTCCAAGGTTTCCACCTGTGGAACAAAAGAAAAGAATCGTGTCACTGAGCCTCAGTCTCCTCATGTATGAAATGGAACTGGAGCACTTCTAAGGGCTATTTTCTTTTCTCTGCTTTGCTTCCTTCCTCCCTCCCTCCCTCCTTTCTTTTTCTGTTTTCTCTTCCTTCCTTTTTCCTTCTTGTGTGCAGTGGAACAATCGCTCACTGCACTTTCCACCTCCCAGGTTCAACCGAGTCTCCTGCCTCAGTCTCCTAAGTAGCTGGGATTACATGCACCCACTCTCATGTCTGGCTAATTTTTTGTATTTTTAGTAGAGACAGGGTTTCGCCATGTTGACCAGGCTGGTCTCAAACTCCTGACCTCGTGATCAGCCCCCCCCCCGCCCCCCCGCCTCGGCTTCCCAGAGTGCTGGGATTATAGGCGTGGCCAGTGTGCCTGGCCCAAAGAGCTGTTTTCTTTCTGGTTTTGTTTTGGTTTGGTATCTGGGTGTTTTGTTTTTTGTTTTCTTGAGACAGGGGTCTCTGGTCCTGCCGGCTCGAGTGCCATGTTGAAATCATGGCTGACTGCACCCTCCATCCCTCTGGGCTCGGGGGATCCTCCCACCGCAGCCTCCTGAGTAGCTGGAACCACAGGCATGCACCACCTCTCCTGGCTTTTTTTTTTTTTTTCTCTTAGACATGAGGGTCTTGCTTTGTCGCCCAGGCTGGTCTTGAACTTCGGGGCTCAAGCTGTCCTTCTGCCGTGGCCTCCCAAAGTGCTCATATACAGGCATGAGCACCATGCCTGGCTGGTTCTGTAATTTCTTTTGTTGTTTTTTACTTTTTTTTCATGACCCCATTTGTCCCAGGTACTATAATTTCTGATGCTATTATATGGACATTTGAAGCACAGATCAGGCTGGACGCAGTGGCTCACACCTGTCATCCAGCACTCGGGAAGGCCGAGGCGGGAGGATCACTTGAGCTCAGGAGTTCAAGATCAGACTGAGTAACATAATGAGCACCCTGTCTCTGCAAAAAATAAAATATTGGCCGGGCGCGGTGGCTCACGCCTATAATCCCAGCACTTTGGGAGGCTGAGGCGGGTAGATCACGAGGTCAAGAGATCGAGACCAGCCTGGTCAACATGGTGAAACCCCGTCTCAACTAAAAATACAGAAATTAGCTGGGCATGGTGGCGCGTGCCTGTAGTCCCAGGTACTCGGGAGGCTGAGGCAGGAGAATTGCTTGAACCCAGAAGGCGGAGGTTGCAGTGAGCCGAGATCCTGCCATTGCACTCCAGCCTGGGTAACAAGAGCGAAACTTCGTCTCAAAGAATAAAATAAAATATTAGCCAGGTATAGTGGCATGTGCTTGGCTGAGGTGGGAGGACCACTTGGGCCTGGGAGGTAGAGGCTGCAGTGAACTAGGATCTCACCACTGCACTCCAGCCTGGGCAATAAGCAAGAGACCCTGTCTCAAAATAAAATAATAGAAAACAAAGATCAGATTCCAGACTTTTCCTGCTCTGAACCCTCCCATAGACCAGACACAGTGGCTCATGCCTGTAATCCCAGCACTTTGGGAGGTTGAGGTGGGCTTATCACTTGAGATCGGGAGTTCGAGACCAGCTTGGCTAACATGGAGAAACCCTATCTCTACCAAAAATACAAAAAGTAGCCGGGTGTGGTGGTGCATGCCTACAATCCTAGCTCCTTGGGAGGCTGAGGCAAGAGAACTGCTTGAACTTGGGAGGCAGAGGTTGCAGTGAGCCGAGATTGCAGACTGCACCCCAGCTTCTGCAACAGAGCGAGACTCCCTCTCCAAAAACAAGAATAATAATTGAAATAAAATAAACCCTCCCATAGCACTTAGCTCCTTTGGGGTCAAGACCTAAGTCTTTTTTTTTTTTTTTTTAGACGGAGTTTCGCTCCTGTTACCCAGGCTGGAGTGCAATGGCGCGATCTCGGCTCACCGCAACCTCCGCCTCCTGGGTTCAGGCAATTCTCCCACCTCAGCCTCCCGAGTAGCTGGGATTACAGGCACGCGCCACCATGCCCAGCTAATTTTTTGTATTTTTAGTAGAGACGGGGTTTCACCATGTTGACCAGGATGGTCTTGATCTCTTGACCTCGTGATCCACCCGCCTCGGCCTCCCAAAGTACTGGGATTACAGGCGTGAGCCACCACGCCCGGCCAAGACCTAATTCTTACCTGGGACCCACAGGGCCCTGTACTACCTGTCCCTTCGTGGTTGGCACAATGGAGGGGGAGCATTTAAGCATCTTCTGCCAGCACCTCCTCTCCCCACCCCTCCACCAAGGGACCTACCTTGAACTTGATCTCCTGATTCCGGAGAACCAGGCGGAAGTGGGTGCCAGGGTCACGTGAGCTTCCCCGGGGAATCTCGTCTGTGAGTTTCTCAAATGCTCCCAGGTTTAGCTTCTCCGCGTGCTGAGGGCACAGAAGCAAGGGTCTGGCTCCGGTTCTTTGGCTTCCAGGCCCCCAGATGATGTAGCAGCCACCTTGGCCTCACCATCAACATTGCCTGCTTGGTCTCTGAGGTCAAGGGAAGGCCAGCCCTGGAGCCTCCATTCCCTCCTTACCTGGAAGTCTCGTTTGCTGTTGTAGAAATAAATGGTGAGACCCTGGAGGCCTGCCCAGAACTTCTTGTAATCCTGGGGACCAGAAGTGCAGAAAGAGGAGGTGAGGCGGCAAAGCTGAGTGCCTCTCACGTCCTCAATCCTGCCTCAGGGCCTTTGCACTGGCTGTGGTCTCTGCCCCACTCTGCCCCCAGATCTTTGTCACCTCCTGCCTTGCATTTCTGATCAAATGTTGGCTTCTCAGGAAGACCCTCCCTGAGACGGCCCAGCTTCTGGGTATCTGTTTTCCTCTGAGAAAGGACCAAATGGAACCTTGATGTGATTTGGGACCCCAAGCAGCTCCCCCAGTCTATGGAGATGGGGGCTCCAGGGGTAAGTTGAACTAACTGGTTTAATGGTGTCCCATCCATCTTCCATCATCCAGCTACCCATAGCCATCTATGTATCATCCACCCACCATCCATCTACCCACCCACCCATCCACACAACCATCATCCAGTTATCCATCCATCTACCCACCCATTCATCCATCCACCTACCATTCACACATCCATTCATCCATCCATCCATCCATCCACCCATCTACCCACTCATTCATCCCTCTATCACACCCCATCCATCCATCATCCATCCCTCCATCTATCCATCCATTATCCACCCATGTATCCATCCACCTACCATTCACACATCCATCCATCCATCCATCCATCCATCCACCCATCTACCCACTCATTCATCCCTCCATCACACCCCATCCATCCATCATCCATCCATCATTATCCACCATGCATCCATCTACCTACCATTCACCCATCATTCATCTGTCTAACCACTTACCCGCCATCCACCCACTCATCCATCCGTCTATCACCCCATCTATCCGTCATTCATCTATCCATCCCTCCATCTATCCATCCATTATCCACCCATGTATCCATCCACCTACCATTCACCCATCCATTCATCTATCTAACCACCTACCCGCCATCCACCCACTCATCCATCCGTCCATCACCCCCATCCATCCATCATTCATCCATCATCCACCCATTCATCCACTCATTCATCCATCCACACATCACCCACCATCCATCCACTCATCCATCCATCCACTCATCCATTTGTCCACCTACCTATCCATTCACTCATCCATCCATCCTTCCATCATCTGTCCATCCATCTGTCCACCCACTCATCCATCCATCTACCCATCCATCCATCCACCCACCCACTCATCCATCCATCCCTCATCCATCCTCACACTCATCCATCCATCCATCATCCATCTACCCACCCATCTGCCCACTCATCCATCCATCCATCCACCCACTCGTGTATGCACTCATCCATCCACCCACACATCCTCTCAGCCACCATCCAGCCCACATCTATCCATTCACCAAGCCTCTGCCCATCCCCCCCTTCATCCCGCATCTACGCATCCGTCTGTCCATCAGTAGACACACACGCAGATATGCACATGCATGTACCTAACATTTACTGAAGGCCTGCTTTGTGCCAGCCCTGCTGCAGGCACTGGGATTAAACACAGTATTACCAGTTACCATATTGCTTTGTCATGTACCCACGAAGTGCTGTTGGGCAAGATATTTGAGCTGTCTTTATCTGTTTCCCCAGCTGTAAAATGGCGCTGATAATGGTACCAACTTTGGAGGATCTCATGAGCATTAGGTGAGTTTCTACATGGGAAGCACCCGGGCCTGTGCTGAGTCAAGTCCTCAGCATGTGAACTGGGACTACAGCCCTAACTGCCCTATTTCATAAGACAGAAGACTCAGCCTCAAAGATTAAGTCACTTGCATAAGGCCTGGGAGTAAAGAAAGTGTGGAGCTGGGATTAGAACCTGGGTCTTCTGGATTCAGACCCAGGATCTTCTTTTTTTTGGGGTGGGGGAGGGAGTGGAGATAGTCTTGCTCTGTCGCCCAGACTGGAGTGCAGTGGCACCATCTCAGCTCTCTGCAACCTCCTCCTCCTGGGTTCAGGCGATTCTTTTGCCTCAGCCTCCTGAGTAGCTGAGATTACAGGTGCTCACCACCACACCCAGCTAATGTTTTTATTTATTTATTTATTGTATTTTTAGTAGAGACAGGGTTTCACCATGTGGGCCAGGATGATCTCGATCTCTTGACCTCGTGATCCGCCCGCCTCCGCTTCCCAAAGTGCTGGGATTACAGGCTTGAGCCACCGCGCCTGGCCCTACTTTTATTTTTATTTATTTATTTTTGTCTTGAGACAGAGTCTTACTCTGTCACTCAGGCTGGAGTGCAGTGGTGTGATCTCGGCTCACGGCAACCTACACCTCCCAAGTTCAAGTGATTCTCCTGCCTCAGCCTCCCAAGTAGCTAGGACTACAGACACCCGCCACCACGCCGAGCTAATTATTGTATTTTTAGTAGAGACAGGGTTTCACCGTATTGGCCAAGCTGGTCTAGAAGTGATTTGCTGGCCTCGGCCTCCCAAAGTGTTGAATTATAGGCGTGAGCCACCGCTCCTGGTCCCAGGATCTTTCCTAACCACAACAAGCACCTTCAGAGGACTTGTTGGTTGGGGAGGATTTGGACGCATGGAGGCAGAAGGAAAAGTTCACTCCGCTATAGGAAAGGAAACCTCAGAGCAGAGGCAGGGAGGGGCGGGAGGATCTGGGGGCGTCTGTGTTGGTCTGTATCAGAAAAGGAGGCAGGTGCAGTAGCTCACTTCTCTAATACCAGCACTTTGGGAGGCTGAGACAGGAGGATCGCTTGAGGCCAGTAGTTCAAGACCAGCCCGGGCAACATAGCCAGACCCTCATCTCTACAAAAAAAAATTAGGCCAGGTGCGGTGACTCACTCCTATAATCCCAACACTTTGGGAGGCCAAGGTGGGCAGATTGCCTGAGGTCAGGAGTTCGAGACCAGCCTGGCCAACATGGTGAAACGCCATCTCTACTAAAAATACAAAAATTAGCCGGGCATGATGACCAGTGTCTGTAATCTCAGCTACTCGGGAGACTGAGGCACAAGAATCTCTTGAACCTGGGATGTTGAGGTTGCAGTCAGCAGAGAGGGTGCCATTGCACTCCAGCCTGGGCAACAGAGCGAGACTGTGTCTCAAAAATAAAATAAAATTAATTAATTAAAAATTAGCTAGGAAACGTGGCCACGCTTGTAGTGCCAGCTACTCAGGAGTCTGGGGTGGGAGGATCACTTGAGCCCAGGGGTTTGAGGCTACAGTAAGCCATGATGGTGCCATTACACTCCAGCCTGGCTGACAGGAAAGAAAGAAAGAAAATGAATTTGGGGCATGGGGAGGGAAAGATGGGGCCTTAGGAGGAATGGAGGGGCTGGGACTTTATTCTGAGGAAGACATAAACACACACACACACACACACACGCACGTGTGCGAACATGCGTGCATTTTCCATGGCCACTATCTGTCCTGTGGAATGTGGCCCCCACCAGTTCTTAGTGTCCTCACTTGTCACCTGTCCTGGCCTTGACCCCGGCCGCCACGGAGTTCTGGGCTGGGAGGGGGAGGAAGCCGGGGAGTCAGAGGGCTCCCCGTTTCCTGGAGGAAGTTCCTGGTCTTGTTTGTGTTTGAGAGAGTGATCCAGAGAGAAAAGCAAAGCTTGAGACAGAGAGAGAGAGAGAGACTGAGACAGACGTCGGAAGAGACAGACCAGGCCAGGGAGAGAGGGAGAGAGGGAGAGAAAAAGAAACCAAATCCGAAGACCCACAGAGACAGACGGCCAGAATCCTCCCCAGCCCACAGCACGTGCCCTGCCCCATCCGGCACCCACCCCGCCCCCCTTGGCGAATGGGGAGACTGGGGCTCAGAGAGGTATTGCACCTGCCCGTGGTGGCCCAACAGTGCCAGTCCCCTGCCCTACCTTACCCGGTCACAGGGTGCCTTCTTCTCTAGAAAGCTCTCATAGTAGTGTGAAGGCAGGACACCCTTGGGTTTGGGGACCCGGGGTGGCCTCATGGCAGAGGCCATGTCGGGGCCAGGGTCTTCCTCCTGGCCTCTCCTTGCAGTGGGTGTCCTAGCTGGGCCGGGAAGCTGAGAAACAGGTTCCAGGGGAGTTTCCCCTCCTCTGTCTGCCCGTCAGCTCCCTCCCCTGCCAGGGCTGGGCGGAGGCTGAACCAGGCAGGTCCAGTGATCCTAGGGAAATCCCGGCCTCTCCGGCATGGAACTGAGAACAGAGAGAAAGTATGAGGCTGCCGGAATGGGAGAATAATATTGTCTGTATCTGCAAAGACAGGGGCATGGTCTGTCTCTTCGTTTATTTATTTATTTATTTATTTTTGAGATGGCGTCTCACTCTGTCACTCAGGCTGCAGTGCAGTGGTGTGATCTTGGCTCACTGCAACCTCCATCTCCCGGGTTCAAGGAATTCTGCCTCAGCCTCCCAAGTAGCTGGGACTATAGGTGCCCAGCTACTTTTTTTTTTGTATTTTTAGTAGAGACGGGTTTCACTATGTTGGCCAGGCTGGTCTTGAACTCTTGACTTCATGATCCACCTGCCTCGGCCTCCCAAAGTGTTGGGATTACAGGCGTGAGCCACCGCGCCGGGCTATTTATTCTTTTTCTTTTTTGAGATGCAGTTTCACTCTTGTTACCCAGGCTGGAGTGCAATGGTTCGATCTCAGCTCACTGCAACCTCTGCCTCCCGGGTTCAAAGAGATTCTCCTGCCTCCATCTTCTGACTAGCTGGGATTACAGGCGCTGCCCACCACGCCTGCCTAATGTTTGTATTTATAGTAGAGATGGGGGTTTCACCATGTTGTCCAGGCTGGTCTCAAACTCCTGACCTCAAGTATTCTGCCCGCCTCGGCCTCCGAAGGTGCTGGGATTCCAGGTGTGAGCCACCACACCTGGCCCTTTCGCTTTGATGAACCCTAATGATTAGATTGGGCCCACCTGGGTAACCCACTGTACTCTCCCTATTTTAAAGTCAGCTGACTAGCAACTTCAATTCCATCTGCAGTTTTTTTTTAGATGGTGTCTCACTCTGTCTTCGATGCTGGAGTGCAGTGGCGCAATCATAGTTCACTGCAGCCTAGTTCATTGCAGTCTCCCAGTCTCAAGCGGTCCTCCTGCTTCAGCCACCCGAAGAGCTGGGACTACAGGTGGGCACCACCACGCCCAGCTAATTTTTTGTATTTTTAGTAGAGACGGGGTTTCACCGTGTTAGCCAGGATGGTCTCGATCTCCTGACCTTGTGATCTGCCACCTCGGCCTCTCAAAGTGCTGGGGTTACAGGTGGGAGCCACCGCACCCAGCCTTATTTTAGTTTTGTTTTTTGTAATAAAAAAAGAAATGATGAGGACATGGAAAAGCCACCCCTCCTTTTGAGAAAGGTCCCCACCTGGTCATGCTCTCCTGGAGCTTTACAGAAGGATGTATCCTGATCAAATAGTTGATTGTGGCCGGGCGCGGTGGCTCATGCCTGTAATCCCAGCACTTTGGGAGGCCGAGGCGGGTGGATCACGAGGTCAAGAGATCGAGACCATCCTGGTCAACATGGTGAAACCCCGTCTCTACTAAAAATACAAAAAATTAGCTGGGCATGGTGGCACTAATAGTCCCAGCTATTCCAGAAGCTGAGGCAGGAGAATTGCCTGAACAGGAGGCAGAGGTTGCGGTGAGCTGAGATCACGCCATTGCACTCCAGCCTGGGTAACAAGAGTGAAACTGCATCTCAAAAAAACGTCGGTTGTAGGACGCCTACGGCCAATACCTCCAGGCTGCTTGTGTGTTTCTCACAGCCACCACAGCAGCCTACTCCTGGCCACAGCCCAGAATGGAAATATTGATCCTGCAAGCAAGCTCTAGAACATTCTAGTGTTTGTTTTTGAGATGGAGTCTCGCTGGAGCGCAGTGGCGCGACCTCCGTTCACTGCAACAACCTCTGCCTCCCAGGTTCAGGCAATTCTCCTGCCTCAGCCTCCCGAGTAGCTGGGATTACAGGCACGCGCCACCGTGCCCAGCTAATTTTTTGTATTTTTAGTAGAGACGGGGTTTCACCATGTTGACCAGGATGGTCTCAATCTCTTGACCTCGTGATCCACCCGCCTCAGCCGCCCAAAGTGCTGGGATTATAGGCGTGAGCCACCGCACCCGGCCTCTTTCTACTGTTTTTATCTGGTTTTGGGTATCAGGGTCATAGTTCCATAAATGAACTGGGAATTGACCTCTTCAATTTTCTGGAAGAGATTATGTGAAATTGGTGTTAATTCTTTGAACCTTTGGCAGAATTCCTTCGTGACACCATCTGGGCTTGGAGACTGCATTTTTGGGAGTTTTAATATTACAAAGTCAATTTCCTTAAGTTACCAGGGCTGGACGGCCTGGGTTTTGTACACACAGCAGAACGGGTGTTTTAGAAACCGCAGAAAGGCCGTGGGACTCTGGACAATGCATTCGTCCACGGAGCTGTCTGACGAAGCTGATAGTTTCAGCTGTACTAAGCAAGGTCAGAGCACTTAGCTTTTGGTTTCTTTTTGTTTTTGTTTTGAGGCAGGGTTTTGCTCCTTTTTAGCTGGGATTACAGGCGCCCGGCACCACTCCCAGCTAATTTTTGTGTTTTTTAGTAGAAACGGAGTTTCAGCTGAGCACGGTGGCTCACACCTATAATCCCAACACTGGGAGGCCAAGGTGGGCAGATCATGAGGTCAGGAGATTGAGACCATCCTTGCTAATGTAGTGAAATCCTGTCTTTACTAAAAAATATCAAAAAGGCCGGGCGCGGTGGCTCACACCTGTAATCCCAGCACTTTCGGAGGCCGAGGCGGGTGGATCACGAGGTCAAGAGATCGAGACCATCCTGGTCAACATGATGAAACCCCGTCTCTACTAAAGATACAAAAAAAAAATTAGCTGGGCATGGTGGCGCGTGCCTGTAATCCCAGCTACTCGGGAGGCTGAGGCAGGAGAATTGCCTGAACCCAGGAGGCGGAGGTTGCGGTGAGCCGAGATCGCACCATTGCACTCCAGCCTGGGTAACAAGAGCGAAACTCTGTCTCAAAAAAAAAAAAAAAAAACCCCAAAAAAATTAGCTGGTCATGGGGGCACATGCCTGTAGTCCCAGCTGCTGGGGACGCTAAGGCAGGGGAATAGCCTGAACCTGGGAGGTGGAGGTTGCAGTGAGTGGAGATCCTCACCACTGCACTCCAGCCTGGCAACAGAGCGAGACTCCGTCTTAAAAAGAAAAGAACGTTTCACCATGTTGGCCAGGCTGGTCTCAAACTCCTGACCTCAAGTAATCCACCCGCCTTGGCCTCCCAAAGTGCTGGGATTACAGGCTTGAGCCACCGAGCCCGGCCATAAGTTTTCCACTTTTATTTTTTATTTTTTTATCTTTATAATAGAATGATTTCTTGTTTTTTATTTTTTTTTTTTTTTTTTTTTTGCTGGGCGCAGTGGCTCTCGCCTGTAATTCCAGCACTTTGGGAGGCTGAGGCGGATCACCTGAGGTCAGGAGTTCGAGATTAGCCTGACCAATATGATGAAACACTGTCTTTAAAAAAAAAAAATTATTTTTTTATTTTTTAATTTAATTTAATTTTTGAGACGGAGTTTCGCTGTTGTTACCCAGGCTGGAGTGCAATGGCACGATCTCGGCTCACCGCGACCTCTGCCTTCTGGGTTCAAGGAATTCGCCTGCCTCAGCCTCCTGAGTAGCTGGGACTACAGGCGCACACCACCATGCCCAGTTAATTTTTGTATTTTTAGTAGAGACGAGGTTTCACCTTGTTGACCAGGACGGTCTCGATCTCTTGACCTAGTGATCCACCCGCCTCCGCCTCCCAAAGTGCTGGGATTATAGGCGTGAGCCACTGCGCCCAGCCATATTTTTAATTTTTTTTTAATTAATTTTTTTAACTTTAGGCGAATACTACATCTGGCATTTTTCCCATGTTATTTCTCCCCACCCTCCCCTTCCTCCCCAAGTTTTTCTACTTTTTAATGTTTATTTAATTAATTAATTTATTTATTTATTTAAGAGACGGGGTTTCACCATATTGGTCAGGCTGTTCTCGAACTCCTGACCTCAGGTGATCCACCCTCCTCGGCTGCCCAAAGTGCTGGGATTACAGGTGTGAGCCACTACTCCCAGCCAGGGTGGTCAGTTTTCATTTCATTTGTCAAATGGAGCCACAGAAGGATTTAGAGCATGGGAGGAGGGCAGGTGCAGTGGCTCACGCCTTTAATCCAAACACTTTGGGAGCCCAAATGGGAAGACTGCTTAAGGCCAGGACTTGGAGACCAGCCTGGGCCACATAATGAGAGCCTATTCTCTTACAAAGACATTAAAAATGAACTAGGCATGGTGGTGCATGCCTGTTATCTCAGCTACTCTGGAGGCTGAGGCAACAGGATCATTTGAGTCCTAGAGGCCAAGGCTGCAGTGAGCCATATTTGCACCAATGCACTCCAGCCTGGGAGACAGAGCAAGGCCCTGTCTCAAAAATAAAAGAAAATACGCTGGGCCTGGTGGCTCATGCCTGTAATCCCAGCACTTTGGGAGGCCAAGGCTGGTGCGTCACCTGATGTCAGGAGTTTGAGACCAGCCTGCTCTACACTGTGAAACCCCATCTCTACTAAAAATACAAAAATTAGCTGGGCATGGTGGCACGTGCCTGTAATCCCATCTACTCAGGAGGCTGAGGCAGGAGAATTGCCTGAACCCAGGAGGCGGAGGTTGCGGTGAGCCGAGATTGCGCCATTGCACTCCAGCCTGGGTAACAAGGGCAAAGCTCTGTCTTCAAAAAAAAAAAACAAAACAAAAATTTCTCACGTTGTAATCCCAGCACTTTGGGAGGCCGAGGCGGGCGGATCACAAGGTCAAGACATGGTGAAACCCCGACTCTACTAAAAATACAAAAAAATTAGCTGGGCGTGGTGGCGCTCACTTGTAGTCCCAGCTACTGGGGAGGCTGAAGCAGAATTGCCCGAACCCCGGAGGCAGCGGATGCAGTGAGCCGAGGTCGTGCCACTGCACTCCAGCCTGGTGACAGAGAGACCCTATTCCCCCCTGCAAAAAAAGAAACATAATAATAATATGGGAGGGAGGTGGTAATAGGTGCGTCGCAGAAAGAGCCCTCTGGGGTAACAGTGGAAGATAAACAGATGGGGCATGAGTTTGGAGGCCTGAGACCCATTGGGATGGCCAGGATTCAGGTGCAAGAAGCTGCAGGTGTGGCTCAGGGTTTTGGAAGGCAGGGGACAGAAAACAGCCAAGGAGGAAGCGTGTAAGGACTTGGGGAAATAAACCGAGGCCGGTTTGGGCTATGCTCAGTCTGGGAGCCTTGGGGATGCCCGTGGTCGGCTGGACAGTCAGGGTGGGGCCCTTACAGGGTGCCTGGACTGCACAATAATAATAGTTCGCATGTACCCAGTCTTTGCTCTCTGTCAAGTCTTCTTCTTGAGGACATTCCCTAGAGCCCTGGAGAGCCTCCCCCGCACCCCTACTGACCTGTCCCCACTTCCCGACAGGCTGTCTGGGCAAAGCCCCCCCATTTGAACCCATCCCACGGTGCCCCGTAGCTTTAGGAAGTCCCCATCCTTGACTTTCAGCCGTGCCAGTGCGGGGGGGGAGGGAATCCCAGCGCCTGGGCTCGGGGACAAAGGTCCCGGTACAGGGTCCGGGACAAAGGCCGGGACTGCACTGATAGGGCGCGCAACCTGCGCGTCCCTGCCACCTGCCCCGCCCAAGGGTTATGGAAGGCCGGACTCGGCTGGCCTTATAGCCGGAGCTGATTGGCCGGTTGAGTCCAGTCCCTAACTCTCATTGTTTGAGCTCAGAACTAAAGCTTTCGTCTGATTGGTCTATGTGGACGTCTGCCCATTGGTCAAGTCCCAGTTGGTGTAATCAGATAGTCAATAGGGATTGGCTGACGCGGGAAATCCAGCAGCTTGCTACCGATTGGTTGAGGGTGAAATAAATGGGCTCTTATCATTAGCTGACGGGCTCCGCTACGGTCCAATCATGGAATCAGTCAAGGGCCGCCCGGGAGGGTGTGAGGCCGGCTTGGGCGCTTTGGCTCCACCTGTGTCTGCGCGAGGCTGTTCCCTGTTGGAGTCTGCATTGTCCCCCCGGGACCCGTTTCTATCCTGATCCCAAAGGCTGAAGCCTGAGGTCCTTAAGCGCGGTGGGCGCAAGCCTCAGTTCTCCTTTCCCTGCAGCAGGCTGAGCCACTCGCGCACCCGCCCCAGGCTTCCACCTTGCAACCGCTATCCCTGAACAGCGAGGCCTCAGTTTCCCCACTGGCACCAACGAGCTCCCGGTCACCAGTTCATCCCATGGAGCGGAGCGTCAGGCCTCAGTTTCCCGAATGTTCCGGGAAGGCTGAGTTCCCGGTCTCTCCTGCGTGGGCAGCCCCGAGGCCTCAGTTTCCCCGCCCACCCCAGAGCGCCGAGCCCCACCCCCGACCCCGGCGGCGGCCAATGACTAGGGCGCCTCCTCCCTCCCCGGGGCGGGGCCGCGTCACGTGCCGGGAAGCCGCAGTCTGCGGCCCGGGCGCGGGGAGGCGCGGCCATGGCAGGTACGGCGGGCCCAGCAAGGCGGAGGCGCGGGGCGTCCGGCTACCGCGGCGGGGGACGCGCGGCCTCTCTGCAGCTTCTCGTTGCCCGCAGCTCCGGAGCCGCTGTCCCCGGCGGGCGGCGCGGGCGAGGAGGCGCCGGAGGAGGACGAGGACGAGGCGGAGGCCGAGGACCCCGAGCGGCCGAATGCGGGAGTGGGCAGCGGCCGCAGTGGCGGCGGCGGCAGCAGCGGCAGCGGAGGAGGCGGCGGCGGCGGTGGGGCCGGAGCGGGGGGCTGCGGCGGGCCGGGGGGCGCGCTCACCAGGCGCGCGGTCACGCTACGGGTGCTCCTCAAAGACGCGCTGCTGGAGCCCGGCGCCGGGGTGCTGTCCATCTACTATCTGGTGAGCACCCCGCTTCCCTCCTCCCGTCGCGGCTTGGGCAGGAAGGGAAAACTGAGGCCCGGTGCTCCCTTGCTGCAGGACAAACCCCAGTGTGGGGAGGGGAAACTGAGGCTTGGAGCTCCCTTGCTGAGGGAGGAACTAGGTATGGGGGAGGGTAAACTGAGGCTTGAAGGTCCCTTGATGGGGGAGCCAGTTGTAGGGAGGAGAAACTCAGGCTTGAAGCTCTCGTTGCTAGACAAGCCCGTGTGGACAGAGAAATCTGAGGCACAGATGGGTCCTACTGATGGGGAGGACATAGGTCCATCCTGCAAAGAAGAAACTGAGGCTCAGAGGAGCCGCCACCCATGCAGGGTCAGATGGGCAACACCGGGGCCTTCCTGTAGTTTCGCCACTGTAAAATGGAATATTTTCCCTCCATGGGAAGATTAGGGGAGGGTTAGGTGCCTGCCACATGGTAAGAGCTTTATCTGTGGTTGGTATTTTTTTTTTTTTTTTGAGATGGAGGCTAGCTCTGTCGCCGGGGCTGGAGTGTAGTGGTGCGATCTCAGCTCACTGCAGTCTCTGCCTCCCAGGTTCAAGTGATTCTTCTGCCTCAGCCTCCCAAGTAGCTGGGAGGACTACAGGCGCACGGCACCATGCCTAGCTAATTTGTTTTCATATTTTTAGTAGAGACGGCATTTCACCATATTGGCCAGGCTGGTCTTGAACTCCTGACCTCGTTGTCCACCTGCCTGGGCCTCCCAAACTGCTGGGATTGCAGGTGTGAGCCACTGCGCCTGGCCTTTTCTTTTTTTGAGACAGAGTCTTGCTCTTTTGTGTAGGCTGGAATGCAATGGGGCAATCTCGGCTCCCTGCAACCTCCACCTCCTGGGTTCGAGAGATTCCCCTGCTTCAGCCTCCCGAGTATCTGGGATTACAGATGCCTGCCACCACGTCCAGCTAATTTTTTTATTTTATTTTATTATTTTTTTTAAATAAAGACAGGGTTTCACCATGTTGGTCAGGCTGGTCTTGAACTCCTGACCTCAGGTGATCCGCCCGCCTTGGCCTCCAAAGTGCTTGAATGACAGGCGTGAGCCACCGTGCCCAGCCAATTTTTTTATTCTTAGTAGAGATGGCATTTCACCGTGTTGGCCAGTCTCGAACTCCTTAGGTGAGGTCATCTGCCCACCTCGGCCTCCCAAAGTACTGGGGTTACAGGCAGGAGCCACCACACCTGGCCCTGTGTTACTACCATTACGGTTGTCCTTATTGTCAGTTTGTGAATGGAAGCACATTGTTCACGTGGTGAATGGGAGTTTCTGAATTGAGCAACTGCTGAGCGTCACATCCTAGAGACACAGCAGGGATCAGGACTGCCAGACCCTGTCCCTGATTAGGGGCTTCTTGGTCATGACAGCCGGGGTGCAGATTCCTGCGGGGCAGCTTCGTGCAGGCTGGTGAGGTGTGTGGGATGGACTCCCAGGCACTGAGGGGACCCTGAAGCCAGCCTGGGAGGCGTTTCTGGAAGCTCTGCAAGTGGATGCGTCGGGGAGCGTGGGGCTGGGGAGGACCCTGGGAGAGAGGGTGTGCTGGGTGTTGGTCCTGGCCCCAGCCAGCCAACTGTGGCTGCAGGGGAAGAAGTTCCTGGGAGACCTGCAGCCGGACGGAAGGATCATGTGGCAGGAGACGGGGCAGGTCTTCAACTCACCCAGCGCCTGGGCCACCCACTGCAAGAAGCTGGTGAACCCTGCCAAGAAGTCAGGCTGCGGCTGGGCCTCTGTCAAGTACAAAGGCCAGAAACTGGACAAGTACAAAGCCACCTGGCTCCGGCTGCACCAGCTGCACGCGCCCGCTGCTGCTGCTGAGGAGGTGCGTACGGCAGCCTCCTCCAGGAAGCCGCCCGGGTCACTGGCATGAGGGGTGCCCAGCCTGACACGGCTGTCCCAGGAGGAGGTATTACAGTAATATACACAAACACAGATGAGGCGCTTACCGTGGGACACGCTGCCTCCATCCCTCCAGGGCTGGGGCGGAGAGAGTGGACATGGGAGTTAGGGCTTTGACGGATGAGTAGCAGTTTGTCAGAGCAAGCTGAAGGGAAGAGCTTTTTAGTAGGTTGGAATGGCATGGGCAAAGTCATGTTGGCATGAAGAAAGGCATGCTGGGGTTGTGGGTGGCTGAGGGGGCTGGAGGTGTAGGCAGGGACCAGAGGGGCCAGGGACCCTTTGTGTGCCTTAGTTTTTTTTTTTCTTTTTTTTTTTTTTGAGACGGAGTTTCGCTCTTGTTACCCAGGCTGGAGTGCAATGGCGCGATCTCTGCTCACCGCAACCTCCGCCTCCTGGGTTCAGGCAATTCTCCTGCCTCAGCCTCCCGAGTAGCTGAGATTACAGGCACGTGCCACCATGCCCAGCTAATTTTTTCTATTTTAGTAGAGACGGGGTTTCACCATGTTGACCAGGATGGTCTTGATCTCTTGACCTCGTGATCCACCCGCCTCGGCCTCCCAAAGTGCTGAGATTACAGGCGTGAGCCACCGCGCCCGGCTTTTTTTTTTTTTTTTTTTTGACACAGGGCCTCTCTCTATGGCCCAGGCTGGAGTGCAGTGCCAACCTCTCGGCCCACTGCCACCTTCACCTCCTGGGCTCAAGCAATTCTCCCACCTCGGCCTCCCTATAGCTGGACTGCAGACACAAGCCACCACACCTGGCTAACGGTTGGATTTTTAGTAAAGATGGATTTCACCATGTTGCCTAGGCTGGTCTCGAACTCCTGGCCTCCAGCCATCCTCCCACCTGGGCTTCCCAAAGTGTTGGGATTGCAGGTGTGTGAGCTACGGCACCGCCAGTTTTTTTTCCTTATGTAAAAGCAGAGCTGGTAACAGTGCCTGTGTCTGAAATCTGTGGCAGGCAGGAAGCGGGAGCAGATGCTGTCGTCGTGAGGCACAATCCTGTTTGGTTTTTTTTCTTCTGTCTTTTCCTTTTCTGTCCTTCGACTGACTGGGTGAAGCCCACGCATGTATCAAGAGTAATGTCAAGGCCGGGCTCGGTGGCTCACACCTGCAGTCCCAGCACTTTGGGAGGCCAAAGCGGGCGGATCACTTGAGGTCAGGAGATCGAGACCAGCGTGGCCAACATGGTAGAACCCCCGTCTCTACTAAAAATACAAACAATCAGCTGGGTGTGGTGGCGGGCACCTGTAATCCCAGCTACTCAGGAGGCTGAGGCAAGAGAATTGCTTGAACCCAGGAGGCAGAGGTTGCAGTGAACCAAGACTATGCTATTGCACTGTATCCTGGGCGACGGAGCAAGACTGTGGTTTAAAAAAAAAAAAAAGGCCTGGCGTGGTGGCTCACGCCTGTAATCCAAGCACTTTGGAGGCCAAGGCAGGCAGATCACCTGAGGTTGGGAGTTCAAGACCAGCCTGACCAACATGGTGAAACCCATCTTAAAAAAAAAAAAAAGAAAAAAGCCGGGCGCGGCAGCTCACACCTGTAATCCTAGCCCTTTGGGAGGCCGAGATGGGTGGATCACCTGAGGTCAGGAGTTCAAGACCAGCCTGGCCATGATGGTGAAACCCCATCTTTTAAAAAAAAAAAAAAAGTAATGTTCTTTCTGTTTGTAGATATGTTTTTATAAACTTTTTTCTTTATCAGAGCTTTCCTCTTGTTGCCCAGGCTAGAGTACAATGGCGCGTTCTCAGCTCACTGCAACCTGTGCCTCCTGGGTTCAAGCGGTTCTGCCTCAGCCTCCCGGGTAGCTGAGATTACAGGTGCCCGCCACCACTCTTGGCTAATTTTGTATATTTTTAGTAGAGATAGGGTTTCACTATATTGATCAGGCTGGTCTCGAACTCCTGACCTTGTGATCCACCTGCCTTGGCCTCCCAAAGTGCTGGGATTGCAGGCGTGAGCCACCGAACTGGCCTATAAACTTTTTTTTTAATGTATGAAGTTTATTACACGGAGTTAACACTAGTCCAAGTTAAAAGCAGACCACAAATGGTCACGTCATACAAGCTGTGAGGTTTTGAAACTTGTGACAAGGGACAAAAAGGAAATTCTACTCACTGCAAGGAAATCCTCACTGAAGCTTCAGTGAGCCACAAGCACTTAAAACCCATGAACCTGCCTGGCGTGGTGGCTGATGCCTTTAATCCCAGCACTTTGGGAGGCTGAGGTGGGCCGATTATGAGGTCAGGAGTTCAAGACCAGCCTGGCCAACATAGTGAAACTCCATCTCTACTAAAATTACAAAAAAAAAAAACCCCAAAAACCTGGGCGTGGTGGTGGTCACCTGTAGTCCCAGCTACTGAAGAGGCTGAGGTGGGAGAATCTCTTGAATCCAGGACGCGGACGTTTCAGTGACAAGATGGCGCCACTGCACTCAGCCTGGGTGACAGTGAGGTTCGATCTCAAAAAAAAAAAAAAAAAACACCGTAAATCTTCACCTGACTGTCCTTAGCCAGTCCAGTCTCTATAAGGAACCGGCAGATATTCTTGCACTGGTCACCTGTAGCTGAATTACTTTCCTATATTCTGGGTTTGTGTGTGTGTGTGTGTGACCCAGGCTAGAATGCAGTGGCACAATCTCAGCTCGCAGCAACTTCCAACTCCTGGGTTCAAATGATTCTTCTGCCTTAGTCTCCCGAGTATCTGGGATTATTTATAGGCACCTGCCACCACACCTGGCTGATTTTTGTGTTTTTTTTTTTTTTGAGACGGAGTTTCGCTCTTGTTACCCAGGCTGGAGTGCAATGGCGCAATCTCGGCTCACCACAACCTCCGCCTCCTGGGTTCAGGCAATTCTCCTGCCTCAGCCTCCCGAGTAGCTGGGATTACAGGCGCGCGCCACCATGCCCAGCTAATTTTTTGTATTTTTAGTAGAGACGGGGTTTCACCATGTTGACCAGGATGGTCTCGATCTCTTGACCTCGTGATCCACCCGCCTCGGCCTCCCAAAGTGCTGGGATTACAGGCTTGAGCCACCGCGCCCGGCCAATTTTTGTGTTTTTAGTAGAGATGGGGTTTCACCATGTTGGCCAGGATGGTCTCCATCTCTTGACCTTGTGATCCACCCGCAATCCCAGGTTCCCAAAGTGCTGGGATTACAGACGTGAGGTACTGTGCCCGACCTCTGTTGAATTCTTATATGGTTACAATGCTCAGTGCCAGCAGGAAGCAGGTTGTCACTGATATGCATCAGCAAAGGGGTTGAAAGCGTGATTCTGGATAGTGGCTATAGACATGATTCTTTTCTTTGAGATGGAGCCTTGCTCTGTTGTCCAGGCTGGAGTGCAGTGGCGCGGTCTTGGCTCACTGCAACCTCCCGCTTCTGGGTTCAAGCGATTCTCACGTCTCAGCTTCCCAAGTAGCTGGAACTTCAGGCATGCACCATCAGCTTGGCTAATTTTGGTATTTTAATTTAATTTAATTTTAAACCCCAGTAGGGTTTCACCGTATTGGCCAGGCTGGCCTTGAACTCCTGACTTCCGGTGATCCACCCGCTCTGGTCTCAACAAACTGCTGGGATTACAGGCAGGACTCACTGCACCCGGCCAGGATCCCTTTTCCTTGGTGGAAACGGCCTGTGGGAGGCAGTGTTGGTGGGAGAAGGCTGGTGGGAGGGAGGGAGCAACGGGAAACCAGAGTGCTCAATGGGGAGGCTGCTGAGTCCTCGGTGGCTCAGTGACTGGATCTGTTTTTATAATTCTTTTTTTTTTTTTGAGACAGTCTCACTCTGTTGCCCAGGCTGGAGCGCAGTGGTGTGATCTCTGCTCACTGCAACCTCTGCCTCCTGGGTTCAAGCGATTCTCCTGCCTCAGCCTCCCGAGTAGCTGGGATTACAGGCACCTGCCAGTAGACCCGGCTAATTTTTTTGTATTATCAGTAGAGACGGGGTTTTGCCATGTTGCCCAGGCTGGTCTTGAACTCCTGGCCTCAAGTGATCCGCCCACTTCGGCCTCCCAAAGTGCTGGGATTACAAGCCTGAACCACCATGCCCGGCCAATTTTTGTATTTTTAGTGGAGACAGGGTTTCACTATGTTACCCGGGCTGATCTTGAACTTCTGATCTGCCCACCTCTGCCTCCCAAAGTGCGGGGATTGCAGGCGTGAGCTGTGGGTTCTGGCCAAGAGTAATGCCCTTTCTGAGAGTCACCTTACTGTAGATGTGAATCAGGTCTAACAAACGCCGTCGCAGTAACGCCAAGATCAGTGTTTGATTAAATTACTGGGCGCTCCGGCTTAGCTAAGTTCTGCAGGTATTCAGTAAGTGCCAATCCTATGCAAGCCTTAGGCACTATATATAAAGCAACGGGCTAAAAAGTCAAAAATCCCTGCCTTTGGGTGGGAGTTGTGGGGGATGAAGGTAGTCAGGGGAGGCTTGATGAGAAGGTGACATTTGAACAGAGAACTGAAGATGCTGCGGGAGGGAGGGAGAGCTATGAGGATACTGGGAACCTGCCCCTGCTGAGGCCCTGGGGCAGGACTTTGCTGTATTGCAGGAACAAAGAGGAGGCCTGTGTGGCTGGAGCTGAGTGAGGGGCAGGATGGGAAGGGGACAGGGGAGGTCAGGCAGGATCCATGGAGGGTTGCGGGTAGAGGAAGGACAGGACTTGACTCAGGCGCTTACAGGCGTTCCCTGGTGGCTGCTGTGGGGAGGACAGACTGTCAGGGGTGAGGATGGGATCCAGGGACCAGGGTAGAGGTGACTGAGCTGGTCCAGGTGAGGGATGGTGGGGTGGGCCAGGCCAGCCATGGAGGTGGGAAGAGGTGGGCAGGTCCCAGGTAGTTTTGGAAGTGGATCTATCAGATGTGGGGTCTTGAGCAAGTAGGTGGATGGAGCTGCCAAAATGGGGGTTTGCAGGAAGGGCAGACTTGGGGGCCCAGCGGACCCAGCATGGCCGCGTTGAGTGTGACCCTGTGAGCCCCCACATGGAGACATGGACGGGCAGCTGGGCTCTGAGTCTGGAGCTGGGTGAGGCTTAGGCTGGAGACAGGACCTTGGGCAATGTCGGGTGTAGGCGGGATGTGGAGCCCTGAGAAGGGGGTGAGGCCGCCTGGGAGGGGTGTGGAGGGAGGAGGCCTGAAAACACAGCCTGGGGCCAGCAACAGAGAGATGGGGAGCTGAGAGGGAGCTGGGAAAGCACAGGGGGCCCCGGGGATCATGTGAGGACTATGTTCCCAGTAGGTGGGATGGGCTGGGTCAGATGCTGCCCAGAAGGTGACGAGGACAGATGTAACCCAGAGAGGTCATCTCCGCAAGGGTGGTTTAGGATAGAACTGGAGGAGAGTTATTTTTTACTTTTATTTTTTATTTATTTATTTATTTTTATTTTTTTGAGACAGAGTCTTGCCTTGTTGCCAGGTTGGAGTGCAGTGGCGCAATCTCAGTTCACTGCCACCTCTGCCTCCCGGGTTCAAGCGATTCTCCCAAGTAGCTGGAACTACAGGCACGCACCACCATGCCCAGCTAATTTGTGTGTGTGTGTGTGTTGTGTGTGTGTGTGTTTGTGTGTGTGTGTTTGTGTGTGTGTTTGTTTGTGTGTGTGTTTGTGTGTGTGTTTGTGTGTGTGTTTGTGTGTGTGTGTTTGTGTGTGTGTGTGTTTGTGTGTGTGTGTGTTTGTGTGTGCGTGTGTGTGTGTGTGTGTGTGTGTGCGTGTGTGTGTGTGTGTGTGTGTTTGTGTGTGTGTGTGTTTGTGTGTGTGTGTGTTTGTGTGTGTGTGTGTGTGTTTGTGTGTGTGTGTGTTTGTGTGTGTGTGTGTGTGTTTGTGTGTGTGTGTGTGTGTGTGTGTTTGTGTGTGTGTGTGTGTGTGTGTGTGTGTGTGTGTATATATATATATATATTTTTTTTTTTTACTAGAGACCAGGTTTCACCATGTTGGTCTCAATATCATGACTGCATGATCCTCCCACCTCGGCCTCCCAAAGTGCTGGGATTACAAGCGTGAGCCACTGTGCCCGGCCTTTATTTTTATTTTTTGAGACAGAGTCTCGCTCTATTGCCCAGGCTAGAGTACAATGGCACGACTCAGGTCACTGCAGCCTTCGCCTCTTGGGTTCAAGTGATTCTCCTACTTCAGCCTCCTGAGCAGCTGGATTGCCTAATGTTTGTATTTTTAGTAGAGAGGGTTTTACCATGTTGGCCAGGTTGGTCTCGAACTCCTGACCTCAAGTGATCCACCCACCTCAGCCTCCCACGGTGGTGGGATTACAGACGTGAACCACTGCTCACGGCTGAGGGGGAAGGTTATTGTACATAACCAGTGTATGCTGCTAGCTCACTCATAGATCTGGGTATGTGAACAGAGCATCTGGGTGTATGTAAATGCTTTGCAGATGTGATTTCATTTCACACTGATGCCACCCCCACGGGGCTAGAGATCATTGTGCCCTTTTACAGATAAGAATATGGTGGCTCGTGCCTGTGATCCCAGCACTTTGAGAGGCCGAGGCCAGCAGATCACTTGAGGTCAGCAGTTGGAGACGAGCCTCGCCAACGTGGCAAAACCTCGTTTCTACTCAAAAGACAAAAATTAGCCAGGGGTGGTGGCAGGTACCTGTAGTCCCGGCTGCTTAGGAGTCTGAGGCAGGAGAATGGCTTGCGCCTGGGAGGCAGATGTTGCCAGGATTCCACCACTGCACTCCAGACCGGGGAACGGAGCGAAACTCCGTCTCAAAAAAAAAGGAGAATCGCTTGAGCCTGAGAGGTGGAGGTTGCAGTGAGCTGAGATAGCGCCACTGCACACCAGCCTGGGCGACAGAGTGAGACCCTATCACCAAAAAAAAAAAAATTCGAGGTTTTAGCTGAAGACCTCCTTTGCTCCCTCCCTCCCTCTAGTGGTCACCTGGGGCAATGGCACCTACTGCTTAGGCCAAAGGGCTGGGGTGGGATTTAGTAGGGAGAATGGGGGCCACCCAGTTGAGGATCCCACTGCTGTTCCCAACCCCCAACCCCTCCAGAGCCCGGCCAGCGAAGGGGAGGAGGAGGAGTTGCTGATGGAGGAAGAGGAGGAGGAGGTTCTGGCAGGGGTCTCAGCAGAGGACAAGAGTCGGAGAGCACCCGGGAAGAGCCCCTCGGAGCCTGCTCACCCGGGTGAGAGGAGTGGGGAGGGGAGGCAGGACGGGACATGTGTACAGCTTGGGTCTGGGAGGAGGCTGGGCCTTGAAACCCCCTGGGCCCAGGATGCCTGGCTGACTTCCTAGTCCCACTGCCGAATTTCACACTGTCTGAATTTTCAAGCTCAGATGCTGGATTTTATTTCATTTTATTTTATGTATTTATTTTTTCGCTCTGTCACCAGGCTGGAGTGCAGTGGCGTGATCTTGGCTGACCACAACCTCCGTCTCCCAGGTTCTAACAATTCTCCTGCCTCAGCCTCCTGAGTAGCTGGCTAACTTTTGCATTTTTAGGAGAGACGGGGTTTCACTGTGTTGTCCCAGCTGGTCTCGATCTCCTGACCTCAGGTGGATCCACCTCCCTTGGCCTCCCAAAGTACTGGGATTACACGAGTGAGCCACCGAGCCTGGTTTTTTTTTAAGACAGTCTCATTCTGTCTCCCAGGCTTGCGTGCCCCCCGCGCTGCTGCATTTCTTTGTGCACTGCCTGATTTCTGTGCTCCCTGCCTGACTTCTTGCTTGCCTCTGGGATTTCTTTGTCTCATTGCCTGATTTCACCTGGTTTCCTGAGCTCCCCGTTTATTTATTTATTTATTTTTTGAGATGGAGTCGCGCTGTTGTACAGGCTGGAATGCCGTGGTGGGATCCTGGCTCACTGCAGCCTCTGGCTTCCGAGTTCAATCGATTCTCGTGCCTCAGCCTCCCAAGAAGCTGGGATTATAGGCACGAGCCAACACGCCCGGGACTATCTAACTTTTAACACCTCCTCTGTTTGACTTGTCCCCTGATTTTTTTTCTTTTCTCATCTTGTATGTGGGTTTTTATTGCGGTTGTTTTTGAGAAAGTTTTGTTTTGCTCCCCAGGCTGTGATTGCACCACGGCTCACTGCATTCTCGGCCTCCCAGGTTCAAGTGATCCTCCTGCCTCAGCCTCCTGAGTAACTGGGACCACAGGTGTGCGCCACTACGCCTGGCTAATTTTTGTATTTTTTGTAGAGATGCGATGTCACCATCTTGCCCAAGCTGGTCTTGAACTCCTGGACTTGAGCAATGCTCCCACCTTAGCTTCTCAGTGTAAAATTAAAAACAAAATTTTTTTTTTTGAGATGGAGTCTCACTGTGTTGCCCAGACTGGAGCGCAGTGGCATGATTTTGGCTCTGCCTCCTGGGTTCGAGGAATTCTTTTGCCTCAGCCACCTAAGGAGCTGGGAGTACAGGCCAATTACAGTTGTGTACTGCCACGTCGAAGTTTTTTTGTATTTTTAGTAGAGATGGAGTTGCACCATGTTGGCCTTGATCTCTTGACCTCATGATCCTCCCACCTCGGCCTCCCAAAGTGCTGGGATTATAGGCGTGAGCCACTGCAGCCTCAACCTCCTGGGCTCAAGCGATCCTCCAACCTCAGCCTCCCAGAACACTGGGATTACAGGCATGCACCATCATGCCCAGTGGCCCCCTAGCTTTTTCTGCCTTGGGCTGGGGAGGGACTGATCCTGCCTTTTTCTCTCTCAGAGGCCACAACCCTGGGCAAGCGGGTGGACAGCAAGATCCGGGTCCCGGTCCGCTACTGCATGCTGGGCAGCCGCGACTCTGCCAGGTCAGACTCACCCCAAGCCCTGCCCCTGCCCCAGCTCTCCTGGATCTCTTGCTGGTCTGGGGGTAGCAAGGGCAGGAGTGGGGGGCGGGACAGAGCTTCAGATCCTCAGAGCTGTGGGGTGGGGGCGAGGGAGGAGCCTGGGGGTGGTTCCCGAGGCTGTACAATCCTCCTGGCCCCTACAGGAGCCCCCACACCCTGGTGGAAGTCACGTCCTTTGCAGCCATCAACAAGTTCCAGCCGTTCAACGTGGCTGTTTCCAGCAACGTGCTGCTGCTGCTGGTGTGTGGCCCACCTGGTCCAGGGCGGAGGGTCCAGGGCCAGGGGAGCCTGGTCAGGGGCAGCAGGAGGGCCTCCCCGCTGTGTCAGTCTTTGGCTGCTTTGTTTGCTACTGGTACACTGTGGGTGCTCAATGAATGCATGAAGGAGGGTGCATGGCCACGCGTGGGAGCTCACAGCTGTAATCCCTGCACTGTTAGGGGCTGAGGCAGCGGGTCACCTGACCTCAGGAATTCAAGAGCAGCCTGGGCAACATGGTGAAACCCCCTCCTCTACTGAAAATACAAAAGTTAGCCGGGCGTGGCGCTGCACACCTGTAATTCCAGCTACTTGGAGGCTGAGGCAGGAGAATCACTTGAACCCAGGAGGGAGGTTGCCGTGAGCTGGGATGGTGCCACTACACTCCAACCTGGGCGACAGAGCAAGACTTGGTCTGGAATAAAGAGAATGAGGGGCAGGCTGGCTCCAGTGTTGGGACAGGGCCACTGCCTGATCCTTCTTTTGCTGTCCTTCCCTTCCCAGGACTTCCACAGCCACCTGACTCGAAGTGAAGTCGTGGGTTACCTGGGGGGCCGCTGGGACATCAACAGCCAGAGTGGGTATCCAGGGCTGGGTCAGAGGGTGGCGTTGAGGGACCAAGGACCACGGAGTAACAGCCACCCCTCCCCACAGTGCTGACGGTGCTCAGAGCCTTCCCCTGTAGGAGCCGGCTTGGGGACGCAGAGACTGCAGCTGCCATTGAAGAGGAGGTGAGGGGCTGCCTGGGAGGTGGCATTTTAGGAAGGGCTGGGGAGGGACATAGCTGTCCTGGTGACTGGCCAGTGGCTGGCAGTGTCACCATCTCTGTGCCTGAAGCCCCACAGTGAAGGGTTAAGAGTACTGCTTTTTTTCCTTGAGACAGTCTTGTTCTGTATCCCAAGATGGAGTGCAGTGGTGTGATCTTGGCTCACTGCAGCCTCCAACCTTCTGGATTCAAGCAATTCTTCTGCTTCAGCCTCCTGACTACCTGGGATGACAGGCGTGTGCCTCCATGCCTTGCCAATTTTTGTTTTGTTTTGAGACGGAGTTTCGCTCTTGTTACCCAGGCTGGAGTGCAATGGCGCGATCTCGGCTCACCGCAACCTCCGCCTCCTGGGTTCAGGCGATTCTCCTGCCTCAGCCTCCTGAGTAGCTGGGATTACAGGCACGTGCCACCATGCCCAGCTAATTTTTTTGTATTTTTAGTAGAGATGAGGTTTCACCATGTTGACCAGGATGGTCTTGATCTCTTGACCTCGTGATCCACCCGCCTCGGCCTCCCAAAGTGCTGGGATTACAGGCGTGAGCCACCGCGCCTGGCCCAATTTTTGTATTTTTAGTAGCGAAGGGGTTTCACCACATTGGCCAGGCTGGTTTTGAACTCTTGACCCCAGGTAATCTGTCCACTTTGGCCTCCCACAGTGCTGGGACTACAGGTGTGAGCCACCACACCCCGCCTAAGAGCGCTGCTTTTGGCTCACCTGACCCTGCCGTGGAAACCTCACCCGCCCTCCCCTCTCACAGCCTGGGTTTCCTTGTCTGTCAAATTGAGCGGCTTAAATGAAGGGTCATCAGATCCAGGCATGGGGACTCACAGCAGGAATCTCAGCAGGAGAATTGCTGGAGCCAAGGAGTTCCACACCAGCCTGGGGCCACAGCAACACCTCGCCTAATAAAAAAAATCAGCCAGGTAGTCCCATCTTCTTGAGAGGCTGACACAGGAGGAATGGACTGAGTCCGCGATGTCGAGGCTGCATGAGCTGTGAGGCACCACTGCACCCCAGCCTGGGTGACGGAGCAAGATCCTCTATCTAAAACAATAAAAAATGAAGGGTTGCCAATAATGAATGCTTTTTCCCAGGCCTCATCTAGTAAAGGCTCAGGAGGTACCAGCTGCCCTTTTCTCTCTCTCCTGATGTGATCTTGCCGTGCTGCCCAGACTAGAGTACAGTGGCATAATCAGGGCTCTGCCCAGGTTGAAGAGATCCTGCCCCAGCCTCCAGAGTAGCTGGGAGCACAGACACATGCCACCACACTTGGCTTTTTTTTTTTTTTTTTGAGATGGAGTCTTACTTTGTCACCCAGGCTGGAGTGCAAGAGTGTGGTATTCACTCACTGCAACCTCCGCATCCCGGGTTCAAGCGATCCTCCTGCCTCAGCCTGCAGAGTAGCTGGGACTACAGGCGCTCACCACCACACCTGGCTAATTTTTGCATTTTTACTAGAAGCAGGGTTTCACTATGTTGGCCAGGCTGGTCTCGAACTCCTGACCTCATGATCCACCCGCCTCAGCCTCCCAAAGTGCTGGGATTACCGGTGTGATGCCAGAATCTTTAACTATTTCAGAGGCTTACTCTGTCACCCAGGCTGGAGTGCAGTGGCACAATCTCAGCCTGCTTCAACCTCTGCCTCCTGGGTTCAAGCGATTCTCCTGCCTCAGCCTCCTGAGTAGCTGGGACTATAGTCGCACACCGCCATACCCAGCTAAATTTTATATTTTTAGTAGAGAAGAGGTTTCTCCACATTGGCCAGGCTGGTCTCGAACTCCTGGCCTCCCAGTGGGGTAATTACAGGCCTGAGCCACTGTGCCCGGCCTGTCTTCATTGAGTGCCCACTGTGTGGCGGCCATTATTCCTTAAGGTGGGGTACAGCGGTGAACAAAACGACTCTCAGGCACTTGCTTTGTGGCCGGGTGTGTCTTACATTTATAGATAGACTTGGGGGCTCTCTCTAGCTACCACTGGACGCAGGGTATGCAGCAGGGGCTCATCCAGGGCTGGGCGGCTGAGTTCACTGGAGCCCTTCAGACCCCTGCACCGCCTGAGCTGTGCCTCTGTCCCCAGATCTACCAAAGCCTGTTCCTGCGGGGCCTGTCCCTGGTGGGCTGGTACCACAGCCACCCGCACAGCCCGGCGCTGCCATCTCTGCAGGACATCGACACGCAGATGGACTACCAGCTGCGGCTTCAGGGCTCCAGCAACGGCTTCCAGCCCTGTCTTGCCCTGCTCTGCTGTATGCCACCGGCTGGGGCCATGGGGGGTGCAAAAAGGGGGGTTGCTGGGCCACCCAAGCCCCCCAGACCCAGCCCCTCTCTCCCTCTCCTCCACCAGCTCCTTACTACTCTGGCAACCCAGGCCCTGAATCCAAGATCTCACCTTTCTGGGTGATGCCTCCTCCCGAGGTAGGTGGGGCTGCCCCGGAGGCCTGGGGTGCCGGGGGGGGGGGAGTACCTGGGCATTTGGGTCACGACTAGGCGGGGGCCCCTGATTCCAGGCTCCACTGGAGCATTGGGGCCGTGGTTTCTCCATCTGTGAAATGGGGATGTCACTGCTGCCGGGCTGAGGCTTTGGTGAGCCTGGGTGTGTGGCCTCCGTGTGTAGTTCGCTGCTGAGTACCAAGAGGGCTCCCATCCTGAACCTGCCTGGCTTCATTCCCTAAGCCTGCCCTGAAGTCAGAGGTCAGCCTGGAAAGTAATTTCAGGGACCTGGCTCTCTTCGAGGCCTCTGTCAGAGGGAGGATGCTACCCTGCCTCCCTGGTTCCACCGCCAGGTGCCAATCCCAGTGCAGAGCTGGGCTGGGGTTTACACTCCCATTCCCAGCCCGGGCACTGCCCATTGTCCCCAACTGCTGTGGGCTGGGGACTGGAGAGGCTTCTCTGACTGACCTGTGTCCCTACCAGCAAAGGCCGAGTGACTACGGCATCCCCATGGATGTGGAGATGGCCTACGTCCAGGACAGCTTCCTGACCAACGACATCCTTCACGAGATGGTGAGCTCGCTGCAGGCAGGGGCTGGCAGTGCACAGCAGGGTGCACAAGATGCATTGGTCTGCTCCCCACTGGTGGGCTCAGGAAGCTAAGGCTGGTGGTGCCTTGGGGGCCTGGGTCAGGGCTTTTTCCATCCCTCTCAGGATAGAGTCCCAGGTCCTTGCCAGGGCCCCTCCCTCATCCACTGCCTGCTGTTCTCCAAGGGCTGGCCTCTTGTGCCAGGCCCTCCAGTGGAGCAACCCCAGCGACTTCTGTGGGACCTGGATGAACACTTAACAGTTGTACGTTCAACATTCATAAACTAGGCTAGACACAGTGGCTCCTGCCTGTAATCCCAGCACTTTGGGATGCTGAGGTGGGTGGATCACCTGAGGTCGGGAGTTGGGAGACTAGGCTGGCCAGCATGGCAAAATCCAGTCTCTACTGAAATGCAAAAACTAGCCAGGCCTGGTGGTGGACTCCCAGTCCCAACTACTCGGGTGGCTGAGGCAGGAGAATGGGTGGAACCTGGGAGGTGGAGGTTGCAGTGGGTCGAGATTTCGCCACTGCACTCCAGCCTCAGCGACAGAGTGAGACCCCATCTCAAGAAAAAAACAAAACCCAAATTAGTTCATCAAACCTGCGACCTCACAGGTGTCACTGCTGGGATGAGGTGGACCAGGGGCCATGTAAGGCCGGTGTGGTTCTGGAGAATTGGGCTCAGTGAGTGCAGGTCCAGGTGGACCTGTCGTGGCAGCCACTTGGGTAGCGCGGCTGCCTCCCCCTCCAGAGAGCACTCCTGGCCTCCAGCTAAGGTCGCTCCTGATCTCTGTGGTTATCTGTTAGTGCCTGGGGCCTGCCTGAGACTGGAACCCTGGAGAGGGGCCGGTGCGCCTTGGGTGGGGAGGGAGGCTGGGAGTACATGCTGCCCTGTCCTGCAGATGCTGCTGGTGGAGTTCTACAAGGGCGCCCCTGACCTTGTGAGGCTCCAGGAACCCTGGAGCCAGGAGCATACCTACCTCGATAAGCTGAAGGTGAGCCCCACATCCCCCGCAGACCTCCTAATGCAGTCCCAGGAGAGGCCCCTGGGGCAGCCTAAAAGGTGGCAGTAGTGAACCCCATGGGCCCAGCTGGCAGAGTGCACCTGACCCTGGTCACCCCAAGGCCACCCCAGCAGGGTGCAGGCCAGGTTTTATTGGAACTTTAAGCCCTGGCAGCACTGGACGAGGTCCCAGCAGCGGGTTTTGGGAGTGGCTCCCTGCAGAGGGCCCAGGATCCTGGAATGTTTGCCTAAGGGCCTGGCATCCCTGAGTGTCTTAGGGTAATTCCTGCTGTCACCCTACCCTGCGGAGAAAGGGGCTAACAAGCAGAACACTGCTTAGCTCTCGGCTGGCAGCTGTGATGTTGCCATGGGTGTCTGGAACCCAGGCAGGGTGAGGCCGAGGTGAGGGCAGGATCGGGAACCTGCATGTAAGCCCCACCGCTCCATGCAGCACCGCCACCCCCAGGAGTCAGGTCCTCCTGTTACATACCACCCCTCTGGCTTAGCAGCAGGCTGTGTTGTGGGACCCTAGCCCTGTGCCTTGGTCGCAGGGGACTCAGCCAGGCTGCTGGACTTGGATGGTGAGGCACGGGGCTGGCCAGAACCCCTGAGCACAGCCTGAGGCCCAGCCCTCTCGTTTCAGATCTCCTTGGCCAGCAGGACGCCTAAGGATCAGAGCCTGTGCCACGTGCTGGAGCAGGTGTGCAGTATCCTCAAGCAGGGGAGCTGAGCCTCCCAGGGTAGGGTGGGCTCCGGTAATAAAAAGAAATGGAAGCAGCAGCCAGCCGTGCTGGTCTCCCCAAGGCTAGAGTGAGGGTGCCTGGGTACCCAGGCTGATGCCATCACCCCTGCTTCCAGGGCACTAGGGGTTCCTCAGCCTCTGCACCCGGGAACTGGTGCAGGAGCTTCAGGGCCAGTCCCACCTGACTCGGGCTCTGCAGCACGTGTGGGGCACAGGGGACCTGCTGGGGTGTGGGTGGCAGGCCTGCCTCTGCACCAAGACGAGGCAAGGGGCTGTAGAAAGAGACATTTAATACTTCTGTTTACAAAATTCAGGTGTACATTTCCGTTTGCCCTGGACCATGCCCAAGGCTGTGTACTCACTTATGCTGGCGTGTCTGCCCCCCATGTACTGCTGACAAGGGGGGTGCAGAGCAGAGCCTGGGGTCCAGAGGCTTCACCGGGCCACAGGAGGAGGGGAATGTGAATGTGGCCTGGCCCAGAGGACCCCCCCCAATTTCATCAGTTTTTGGATTGGGCAACAGAGGAAGCATGTTGGGGCTGCGGCCCTGCTGGTCTGGGCAGGGGGTCTCAGAGACTCGGGCTGCCTGCCTTGGTCTAGAGGAAAGGGCTGGGCCACTTCCCACAAGGTGGGGTGGGGTGGCAGTGGCTCAGAAAGGGGAGGCCTGGCCACCAGGGACTGGAAGATTCTGCTCACTGGAGCCTTTGTGCTTGGCCCTCAGCAGGGTGGCTAGGGCCATGGTCCCGTTTAAGTGTAAGGTGTGCTGGGGGTGTGTCGGTGGCTGGTGGTGGCAGCTTGTGCCTGAGTGACACAGGCCTCTGTGGGCCTGGCTGGGGGCAGTTAAAAAGCTGAAAAGGGGCTGGGCGCGGTGGCTCAAGCCTGTAATCCTAGCATATTGGGAGGCCGAGGCGGGTGGATCACGAGGTCAAGAGATCAAGACCATCTTGGTCAACATGGTGAAACCCCGTCTCTACTAAAAATACAAAAAAATTAGCTGGGCATGGTGGCGCGTGCCTGTAGTCCCAGCTACTCGGGAGGCTGAGGCAGGAGAATCGCCTGAACCCAGGAGGCGGAGGTTGCGGTGAGCCGAGATCACGCCATTGTACTCCAGCCTGGGTAACAAGAGCGAAACTCCGTCTCAAAAAAAAAAAAAAATGAAAAGGTACTTGAAGGGTGGGGCCTGGCAGCTTGGGGCCCTGCAGGAGGCCATTTTTTCTGTCCTCAGGCAGAGCTACCCCAAGGATCGCAGGTGGCCTCTGTCCCCAGGCTGCAAGCTGCCATCAGGCCTGGGAAGTGATGAGGGCCTCTGCCCTGACCTTGTGCTTGGCCCTCATCACAAGGAGTGTGTGTGCGTGAGGCAGGGGTACAGTGGCCCTGGAGTGGGACCAGGGCCCATCGCCAGCACCAGGCTGGGAGGGGATTTAAAAGCAGGATTTAGGCCAGGTGCAGTGGCTCACTTTGGGAGGCCAAGGCAAGCAGATCATGAGGTCAGAAGTTCGAGACCAGCCTAACATGGACAAACCCTGTCTCTACTAAAAATATAAAATTAGCCGGGCATGGTGGTGCGTGCCTGTAATCCTAGCTACTGGGGAGTCTGAGGCAGGAGAATCGCTTGAACCCGGGAGGTGGAAGTTGTGGTGAGCCAAGATCACACCACTGCACTCCAGCCAGGGCAACAAGAGCGAAACTCTGTCTCAAAAACCAGGGTCCTGTCTGAGCCACCCCGTAGGGACACTCAATCCCATCCTGTTAAGGCCGCAGCACTCGAGGGCAGGCAGTGGGCCGGGCCCCCGTGAGATCAGGACGGAGAGGGGGACCGCCCAGAGGAACTTTAGTGTTTCTGAGAGCACCGTAGTGTTGCCCCACCTCGGCCAGCGCCATGGAGTTGGGAAGGGAGCCATCACCACTGAGGGTCAGCACTAGTGTAAACAGGCATCCCCAGCCATGCAGATAAGCCCCCCAACCCAAGTGTGGAGCCCTGCTCAGGGAGTACCTCAAGGGCGCCGACAGGCTGGGACACCGCCCTGGCAGGAGGGACCCCGTAGAATGCAGGAGACCCAGCAGGGGGTGGCGGCCAGTGTGGACGGAGGGGCAGGGTGTGGGCACCGGCCAGTCACTGTGGCAGAGGCACGAGCACCGCCACGTAGCTGAGCGGGAAGAAGCCCGACTGGCCGTCCAGCATGCCCTCGTACCAGTTCTCATCGATCTGGTTGGTCAGCGTGATGACGTCGCCCTCTCGGAAGCCCAGCTCCCCGTCATTCTCAGGCTCAAAGTCATACAGCGCCTTGCAGCTCGGCTGGTCCAGGGGTGCTGGGGGCGGGAGCAGGCTGTGGGGCTAGCGCCTAGGCTGGGGCTCCTATAACCCACCCCACCCCACCCAGCCTAGGGTCTCAACTCAGACCTGCTGTGGCCTGGAGCCTGTGGGTGGGTGGAGGCCACCCGCTGCCACTTCTGGGGTCCAGCCTCTACTGCCACCCAGGAGGGAGGACGGGAGAGTCTTGGTAAGTGGTCACCACAGCTGCTCCTATGAGGTACTAGGGACACCCAGTGCTGCTGGGGTGACAAGGAATGACCAGACACCCTCAACCCTTAAAGCCACCACACAGCCTAGAGCTGGGCTGATGCCCTTGGCAGTCACAGCAGCAGGGACATGGCAGTTCCTCATTCACACAGTGAGGTGGCGTGTTGCAAGGTGTGGGCCTGTGCCCGAGCCTGTCTCCTTCCTTGGGTTGGGCAGAGGACCAGGGTGGAAGGTGGAAGGCAGCACTGAGGCTGTGGCGGGCCTGGGACACTCACGCATGCTCCTGCTAGGGGTCCGGATGGGCTTGTCGGAAGATCGGAAAGACGACGAAGCTAAACATAAGCAAAACGCAGAGGCTGTGGCTCAATATGGTGGGGCAGGGCCTCCTCTGCAGTAAGCCAGGGCCAGCCCTTGCCGTCCGCCTTGGTGGTCCAGATGGAGCAGAGCTGAGAGCTGTACCCAGGGGCCTGGTGCAGAGACCCAAGACAGGCCCAGCCCTCAGCCACCCTACCCGCTGGCATCCACCTCCAGAAGATGGCTCCACGCCCCATTACCTGTGATCTTGGGGGCTGAGGTGCAGGGGAGGCCCCCGTTGGACTGCTCAGGCTCTCCGAGGTCAAAGGGCTCCCGGGGCTTGGGCTTATACTCCCGCTTGGGGCGAGAGGAAGCTTCCCGCATCCTGTGAAGGGAGAGGCAGCCCCACCCTTGTGTTTACACCACTGCCTAATGACCTAGCTCGGGAGAGGGCGGCAGTGGGGTGGTGACACCCAGACTCTGGAACGTGACTCAACTGGGATGTCTACCCAGAGGGCCTCCAGCCTGGACCCCCACTTTGGGGGCGCCTCAGAGGCTGGCGAGCAGCTGCGTCCTGCTACAGTCTCTACCTGCAGGGCCCCCAGTCACATCCCTCCTGCCTCCTCCCTGCTTTCCCACCACAGCTGGTGCCTGACACATGCCAAGGCCCTGAAGCAGGTTGAGAGACGGGAGCCTGGGTGTCCTTGAGGCAGCAGAAAGTACAGCCAGGGAGGGGACAGGCACGTGATCAGGAGTCCAAGGGCCTGCGTCGGGGGTAGGGCTTGGTGTTTCAGAGTTCTCAGTCCCCTGGCTCCTCTGACCTCAAAGCCCTCAGTCCTCTGGGGACCAGCCCCTCCCTGCACTTGGACTTGACCCGGGCACTGTTCTGCCAGGCACTCACGGGAGCAAGGTGTGCTGCCCACACCCACCGGCAGAGGGCGCGTGGCAGCACAGGGCCCCGGCTCACCTGCGCTTGAGCTTCTCCGCCAGCTCATCCAGGATCTGCACGGCTTGCCGGTGGTAGTCCAGCTGCGCGTCCACCAGAGCCGAGAGCTGACTCACCTGCTCGATCTGCGGGGACAGCAGGGCTCAGGGGCTCCTGCCAGCACAATTGTCCTGTACCCGCCCTGATTGCAAGGTAGATTCATAGGAGGCAGAGGGGCCTGGGGCCTGCACCCTGCACCCTCAACTGCCCCTGCTGCTGCGGCCAGGTTGCTGCCACCTCCATCCTTCAACTCCCTTGAGGCCCCCAAGCTGGCCTCCCAAGGACACGGCGCCCCGGAAACTCACATCCGTCCCCAGGAGGTTGTGCATGCTGGTTTCCGCCACCTCCTTGGACTCCTCAAACTTCTCCAGTGCCTGGCGCAGCTCCTCATCAGGGATCTTGCCCTGCCGTTTCTTCTTGTAGTCAAAGTCCAGGCGGCGGCCCTCCAGCTTCTTCAGGTGGTGCTGGGGACAGTGGAGGACACAGGTTACATCGGCAACAGCTGGAGGTCTGCCCCATGCATGGTGTGACCCACCATCCCTGCACCACGGGCACTCGCCTGCCTGAGCGAGACCCAGAGGGCAGTGCCGAAGCTGGAGTGGCGTAAGGGTGGCGGAACGGGGCCTGCCCCACCCAGCAGGGCGAAGGGACAGGCCTGGGGCTGACGCAGGGGCAGCACCTGGATCTCCTTCAGGTCCTTCTCGCACAGGTTCTGGAGGGGGTCGATGAAGTTCTGCTTGACCTCTATGTCCAGGGAGTCCTTCACCTCTGCCAGGCGCTTCATAGACTCACCAGCATCCAGCAATGCATCACCTGTGGAGAAGCAGTCGGGGAAGCCATCACAGTGGACCTGGGACCGCGGGACTGAGAGTCTCCTTAGCTGTTTTTGAGACAGGGTCTTGCTCTGTTGCCCAGGCTGGAACACAGTGGCGCAGTACTACCTAACCACAGCCTCCAACTGGGCTCAAGCCATGCTGGCACCTCAGCCTCCCGAGTAGCTGGGACCACAGGTGTGTACCCACATCCAGATCCTTCCCCACTACTACTAATTTTTTTTTTTTGAGACAGAGCTTCAGTCTTGTTGCCCAGGCTGAAGTGCAATGGTGCAATCTCTGCTCACGGCAACTTCCGCCTCCCAAGTTCAAGCGAGTCTCCTGCCGTCAGCCTCCCAAGTAGCTGGGATTACAGGCATGTACCACACCACACCCGGCTAATTTTTGTATTTTTAGTAGAGACGGGGTTTCTCCATGTTGGCCAGGCTGGACTTGGAACTCCCATCCTCAGGTGATCCATCTGCCTCTGCCTCCCAAAGTGCTGGGATTACAGGTGTGAGCCACCACGCCCAGCCCCCACACTCCAGGAACTCAGAGCAAAACCAAGGGCCCTAAAATCCGAATCCATGTGGGATGTTAAAGCAGCCTCCCTCCCTGTGCTCCTAAAAGGGCCCAGGCTTGGCCTCAACAGGCTGAAGGTGGTGGGAGGACAGATGCTGGGGGGCCAGGCCCTGGGGAATCAACTAGCTTGAGCTGGGGACGATCTGGAGCCACAGGAATGAGCCCCGTTGGCTGCTGGCCGGTGCTGGATGGCTCTGTCTGTGCAGTCCCCTGCAACTGGAAAGCTGTGGGGGCCACCATGCATCCCCAGGGCTCAGCACAGGCAGGGACTAGGCCGTGGATCGGACCTGGACCTGCCCTGCCTCGTGGGGGTGTGGCCTCCAGAGAGCAGTACTCACCAAAGTTGGACTCGCCAAGCTCCTTCCCATGGCGGATCATGCACTCGCCCAGGAGCCCCTCCGACTGCGGGTAGCCGGGGTTCTTCACCTGGCCCCGGATTTTAGACACCGTGTTGAGCATGGTCAGCTTAGCCCGCGAGGCTGGAACAGGACGGCCCGGTGGGAGTGGGCTGCAGCCCCCACATCCCCTGCCCCACCCTTACTTCCTGTGCCTGCGGACAGTCCAGGCCACACAAAGCACAGTGGAGGGTCCCTTCCCTGCTCCCACCAGCCTCGAAGGAGCTGGCAGCGCATGGAGAGGTAACCAAGCTCCTTGGGGCAACACCACCTCCTCCTAAGGGCTGCTCCTCCCAGAATGTGGCTATGACCAGGAACCCTTCATCTAGGGGGGTGCCAGGAAGGAGTACGCGCAGCGGTGATGGGCAGTGGGGGGTGGGGAGGCCAAGGCTCCTGGGGTGGGTGAGGAGCTATGTCCTTTCCGCTGCCTGCTTGGGTCTGCTCCTGGTAGGGCTTGAGTGGACAATGCTGGCTGTGGGTCTGCCCCATGTCCACTGCCTCCTATGGAGCCCGCATTTGGGGAAAGGCCTGCCTCACGGCTGGGGAGACCCAGTTCATGGGCTCCAAGCATGGAGCCCAGGCCAGGGGCTCTGGGGAGGGACAGTCAGTACAAATAAGTCCCACAAGTGAGCTGGGGGAGAGGCTCCCTGCCGGGACTGCTGGCTGGAAGAGGTTTAAGGTTGGGACAGCCTTGAGGAATTGGCCGGCCTGAGTGAGGCAACAAAGGGGCTGAGCTGCTGGCTGACGTGGAAAGGCAAGCACAGCCTCGGCACCCCTGGATCCAGCAGTGCCTAAAACCTGCCACCCATGAGCCTGGTGGTTCTGTCAGCCCCTACGTTCCCTCTGAGGGCCTGGGAAGGCCCTAGCATCGGCTGGAGCACCCACCTGGGTTGGGCTGCAGGTACTCGATAGTCCTGGCCAGCACTTCGGTCACCGCCTTGCTGGTGACATCCACCTTCTGTGGAGAGACGCGGCATATGAGACTCTACAGCCACTGGGGGCTCAAGGTACACAAGGCCCCTGCTGCCCCACCTCCTTCCCTAACAGCCCACACTAGGATCCCCCAACCTCCCTCCATGTCTTCAGCTCAGCCACGTCCCCATGGCTGCCTGCTTGTCAAGTCCAGCTGACAAGGCCCCCACACCCCAGCTCTCCATGCCTGCTGGGCCCCATCACTCCACAGACCCAGGCCAGTCAGAGTTGGCCACCTCCACTATGCCTAGCAGAGGTCAGGCCCAGGGAGGTGCCATCACCACATGGAGAACACGGTTTCTTCCTCACCTTCTCCATCTCTTTGAAGTCATCATCCAGCTTGGTCCCCTCGGCCCCTCCGACCTTCTCACTGACCAGCTGGAGGACAGAAGAGGGGAAATGCTGTGAGCCCAGGGGAGGAGGAAGATGACAGGAGGCCCTGGGCCACCTTCCAGCCACATCACATCCACAGGAGGTGGCAGAAAGCCAGGCGAACGGGACACATGCCTCAGGCACTGTCGCAGGCACCCTAGGGCCACTTGCTGGCCCAGAGCAGGGTGGGCCTGCAGGGGGAGTGCGGGGGTGGCCTATCCTCGTCTGTGTGTCCTGACTGCCACTCACAGTGCTGCTCACACATCCACAGGGACCCCGCCACAGCAGGCTCCACCTTAGCCATAGTGGAGTCCAGAGCCTCAGCCTGGGAACACATGATTCAGAAGACACTGCTTCCCAAGGCGCCTACACAAACATCCCCATAGAGAGCAATGTGGGGATCTGCCCCCATTCTTGAATATTTTGTGTCTACTTAAAAAAAATCCTGACCAGGCGCGGTGGGGCTCATGCCTGTAATCCCAGCACTTTGGGAGGTAGAGGTGGGAAGATCATGAGGTCAGGAGATTGAGACCATCCTGGCCAACGTGGTGAAACCCTGTCTCTATTAAAAACACAAAAATAAGCTGGGTGTGGTGGCGTGCACCTGTAGTCCCAGCTACTTGGGAGGCTGAGGCACAAGAACTGCTTGAACCCAGGAGGTGGAAGCTGCACTCTAGCAGCCTGGTGACAGAGCGAGACTCTGTCCCAAATAAGAAAAAATCCTGCCAGCTCAGCTGGGACAGGCAGCAGGAAGTGACGGTTAAAAGCAGAGGTGCAGGCAGGGAAGCCGCCACTCTCCTGCACTCTGGTGCCCGCGTCTGTGGGATGAGACAGCCCGGCCCTTGCCACATGGGCACTGAGGCTCACAAGGCAGTCAGCACAGGCCTGGCACACCACAGTCCTCATGGCTCTCAGCTGCAGGAACAGCGATGACAATGACGTCTCTTTCGTGTGGTGGGAGGCAGAATCAAGCACTTAATTCCCAAACCTCTGAGAGCGCCTGGGATGTGAAAAACAGCCCTGGAACGGGGCGGAACCCCTCAACCCCAGCACCGCTGTCCCAGCACAGGCGCTCCTTCTTCACCCCGGGCATCCCGTGTGTGCCTGGAGCCAAGAGATGCCTCGAAGGGAGAAGGGAGAAGAGGGACCTTGTGAGGCCCTTCCCAGTACACAGTGCTTCACGAGGAGTCGAGTGGCTGCCAGGCCCTGCCCCAAATGGAGGCTCCCAGAGGGAGGCCACCTGAGGTCACATGCTTGGCCCTGCCCTCTGGAGGCCAAGTGTCACAGGGTGTGCCATCTCTGAAGCCATCGGCAAATTTAACGTCCCGGGTCTGGTCACTTGTGTGAAGACGTGCACACGGCCTAGGCAGGAGTGTGAGGTGTTGTGTGCCGTGGGCTGGTGACTGTTGACATGGGGGCTGTGGGCTGTGCCCTCTGCCCCTGGACCAGGCATCCACGGTGTTCCCCAGGTCTAGCTGGTGTTTGCCTGCCAACGCCCCACCATTCTTGTACTGGCAGTGGCTCCAAGCTGTTGCAAGACGTGGCCAAGGGATGCCGGAGTGTCCCTGTGCTGCCACACTGCATTGGCTGTGTGGGGCTGGGGGTGTCCAGCAGGCCAGTCAAGACTTCAGGACACAGCCTGGGAGGAAGCGACACAAGAGCAGGAAGTTGCTTGAGCCTGAGGCTCTGCCCACATCAGGTACCTGGTACACCTTCTAGCCCATACCTGGAGGTCATAGCCCAAAGCACCATGAGTACAACTGCCCCCAGCCCCAAGCTTTGCAAACGGCAGCCTGCCCAGAGTACACTGCTGCTCTCATGTCCTGGCAGCCTGCCCTCCTCCAAGGCTCCGCTCTGGAAGCCCCCATGACACAGGACGGGCCTCACCCATGCATCAAAACCCTTTCTGTCCACCGGCCGGGAGGAAATGTCAGATCCCGGGGGCTTGACAAGTCCCACTGCCTGCCCTGGCCCATGTGCCCTCACTCAAGCTGCCCCACCAGGCCTCAGCATTCAGTTTTTAAGATGGAGACGGGGGCGGCGTGCGCTTTGTGGGGCTCTGCCTTCCTGTGCAGGGTACACCAGGCATTCAGTGAGCACAGGACCCCACAGCTCTGACCCCTGTCCCCTTCCCACCTGTGGGTTGGTGGCTCTCAACTCAGCTGCACCTTGGAAGCTTCTCAGAAATCCCCTCACCACATCCATAGCAGGAGGGCTGGGCTCTGGGCCCAGGAGGGGACCGTGGCACAGATGAGAGGCGGGAAGGAAGCAGGAAGTGGCCCTCGTGAGGCAGGAGAGTGGGGCTGCCCTCCATTTCACTGAAGGCGTTAGGAGGAAGGAGCCTACCTCCCTAGGTGTTTTTGGGGTGTTCCACTCTATTTCTTGGGACAGTTTCAGTTCTTTAGATTGTGGCAAGAAAAAGACATGCTCAGAGCTAGTGGCTGCCAGAGAGGGAAATGAGTGGCTGATGCGAGACGACCCTTCTGGGAAGCCGGGAGGAGAACTGAAGCCGCTGGGTCAAGAAGCCGCGCCTTCCAGGCCCAAGACCTGCCCAGGCGGGACATGGTGTGTGGGCTGGCAGGAGCGGCTCTGTCTCGGCCCTTCCCCAGCCCCCCACCTCACATAGGGCAGGAAGACAGGCCCTGACAGCGGGGACCACATCCTGCTTCTGAGGGGAGGGGCTGGGGACTCACCTGGTGGCCTCTGGTTCCAACCCCAGCCCCATCTGCCCATCTCACCTGGGAATCCAGGACCCTGCCTTCCTAAGCCCCAGGAGCATTTCCTGAGCCCCCATAGCCCCCTGCTTCCTTGTACCCCTGACACCCAGGAAGCTGTGCCCCAACTACCCAGGTCTCTCTGCTCGGCTCCAGCCAAGTCCCTCGTGGCGACTGATGGTCCCCCATGGGGCAGGCACTGGGCAGGGGAAGTGACCCTTTAAGGTCACCTCTCTCCAAGGCTCACGAGCTAGAGGCTGGCACAGATGGACCCAGGGATGAGCAGCCACGAGGGAAACACGGGAAAAGCAAAGCACTGGGCCAGTGCAACGCCGGCCACCAGCACGGAAACCAGGCGTGGGCTCCCGCCGCCGGGGCCCTGCCCACTGCAGCCTCCACACCAGCACTACCAAGGATGGGGGACCGAGCCCCCCCCATCTGTCTGCAGCAGAACCGGGCTCCACGGGGGCTCACCAGAGAGCATCTCCTGGGTCAGGAGTAGGTGCTCCTAACCCTGGTGCCAGGCGAGAGCTGCCCATTGTGGGACGGGCAGCCAGCCCCGATGCCTCCGCGTTAGAGACCCTGCCCTCGGGAAGGGAGGACTGAGGCCGTGATCCCAGCGTCCTGCCAAGGGAGACTCTGCAGGCTGATTCTGAGCCTGGATGAGTGCAGCGGACTCAGCAGTGGTAATGACAGCTCTGCACATCAGTCTCCCCACACCCGCAAGGTTCGCCTCGTGTTCCCACCCTGCATGAGAGGAAACAGGAAAATAATGGGGCCACTCCATAGCCAGGGTCCCAACAGGGCTCAAGTTTGAAACCATCCCCCACTGACCAAGTCTGCTTTGGGGTGGCAGGTCAGGGGGTGACTGCTGCCCACTCTCCTGCATGGCCCCACCTGGACGGGGTCAGAGCACCAGCTGCAGACCCCAAGTGACCAGCCTCGAGCCCTACGAGGGCTGCCATCCTGAGAGCCACACCAGCACCTCCTCTCCCCAGTCCTGGTACAAACATAGGCTGAGCCCAAGAGGGAACACTCTCCAAGACTGCCTTTGCCTCAGGTGCTGGCTGGCCTCCCGCAGAGGCTGTGACATGTCCCCTCCTGGAGCAAGGGGACATGGGGCTTCGCTAACCCTGCCAGGTGAGGACCAGCGCTGAGAAGTCACTATGGGAGAGGCCCCGGCTGTCAAGCCTGGCAGTGGCCTTGGGAAGGAACCCACTGTTGCCTGCCAGATACTTCCCCAGGGTTTGGCAAGACTGGCTCATAGTCTTTTGGGTTTTTGCCCAGAGGTGCCCAGCGGAGGCCTGCCCACTCCATGCTCACGCATCCTACCTGTACCCACCACATGCATTTTCTGCCTGGGCCTGACTCTGTCACCTGTGAGCCAGGAACCTACGAAGCGAGCGAGCTGAACACGAAGATGGGGTTCCACCCCAGAGCACAGGACACCTGTCTCCTGGGGAGAAAGGGGCTATTCCTTTGAAGCCTGGCGTTCGTTAGGGTTTAGGCCTTTGGCTCTTTCTGGAGGGGAGCCAGGGATGCGACACACAGAAGAACAGAGAATGCCTGGTGGGAAACTGTGAAGAGCTGTGGACTGAGAGCCAGGGCAGGGCTGGGGAGGGCAGGAGAACCCCAGGTTTTACCCTGAGGGGTGTGGGCAGCTGCCCTGCACCCGGAAGGCACAGCTGTGGCGGCCACTTGGCAGGAGCAGAAGGAAAATTCCAAACCCAGCTGGCTGCTGCCAATGGACGGCCTTAGGATTCAAACATCTCAGCGGGGAAACCCGATCCGTACGGCATCGAACACACACGCCCGTCTCGGGCTCGATGCCCCAGTGGACAATTTGTTCTGATGAATTAACAGATTTTTTTTTTCTTCTTTTAAAGAAGAAAGCCAGCATGGGGGAGGGCGGGGGAGGGCTGCCGCAGCTGGCCTGCAGGGGTGTGCCACATCTGCCTGTAGAGGGTCAGCCCCGGGGTCCTCAGTTCTCACCAGAGTCATGCTGTGGCACTCCAGAACTTCCAGGTTTGCAGCAGAGGTCACCTGTCCTCCCTCAGCTGGGGAGTAGATCTCTGGCTGGCGTCCACCTGCCTATCGGCGTAGGTGGTACTATGGTGCTGCCCACCCTGTGCTACAGAGCCACCTCCTCGTCCCTCCCTGCATCCCTCCTCAACGGCATGTGTGAGAGCACAGACCATAGGGGCCTCCCCCAGTGCCAGGCACAGGGTAGAGAAGTGGCAGGTGGACACAGCTGGTCAACCACAGCAAATACCTGGGACAAGGCTAGTCTTT